CGGCTGCTGGCAGCCAAGGTGGGCTGCGACCGGGAGGACAGCGCTGAAGCTGTGGAGTGTCTGCGCCGGAAGCCTTCCCGGGAGCTGGTGGACCAAGATGTGCAGCCTGCCCGGTATGGGTATGAGGGTGGGAGGGGGCCAGGTCCTTGCTGCTTCCAAGGAGGTTGAGGCTGAGAGGTGCCTGCAGGCATTCCATTTGGCAAGGAGAAGCGGGCTTCAGGCCCTCTAGCAGCTCTGCCTTCTTCTTTCTCAGACACCTTCCCTAAGTGGAGGTGCCTAAACAGAGCAGGTGTGCACAGGATACCATGCAGGGCTTCAGGGAAGATTTGCTGAGAGGCCAGGTGCCCTGAAGGACTCAGGAGATTTTAACACGCGGAAAAGGGTTTTCTGGGCAGAGGCCCAGCAGGCTGTGAGCAAAGAGGAAGCCATGAGCAGGTAATGAGACCGTGACCCCTTCTCCCCAGCTACCACATCGCCTTTGGGCCCGTGGTGGACGGTGACGTTGTTCCTGATGATCCTGAGATCCTCATGCAGCAGGGAGAATTCCTCAACTATGACATGCTCATTGGCGTCAATCAAGGAGAGGGCCTCAAGTTCGTGGAGGACTCCGCAGAGAGCGAGGACGGTGTGTCCGCCAGCGCCTTCGACTTCACAGTCTCCAACTTTGTGGACAACCTGTATGGCTACCCGGAGGGCAAGGATGTGCTGCGGGAGACCATCAAGTTTATGTACACAGACTGGGCCGACCGGGACAATGGCGAGATGCGGCGCAAGACCCTGCTGGCACTCTTTACTGACCACCAGTGGGTGGCACCAGCTGTGGCCACCGCCAAGCTGCACGCCGACTACCAGTCCCCTGTCTACTTTTACACCTTCTACCACCACTGCCAGGCTGAAGGCCGGCCCGAGTGGGCAGACGCAGCGCACGGGGACGAGCTACCCTACGTCTTTGGTGTGCCCATGGTGGGTGCCACTGACCTCTTCCCCTGCAACTTCTCCAAGAATGACGTCATGCTCAGCGCTGTGGTCATGACCTACTGGACCAACTTTGCCAAGACTGGGTGAGGGCCAGAGGGGCTGGGTGGGGCACCTTTGCAGGCCAAGGCGCACACACCCTCCATCCTCAGTTCCTTCTCTCCTTCACACGGCCATCATTCCTCCATTAGGGTGCTCTTGCCTTCTCCACTCAGACACCTGCTGGACACCTTGTCTGTGCCAGGCACTGAGTTGCATGCTGCAGATTCAGCAGAGTTAGACAGAGAGGTCCCTGTCCTTTCTGGGGGTGGGCTCACTTGGTGGCTTTGGCTCCATGTCTGTCTGTCCTTCCTTCCCTTGCCTACCCACCCTCTCTCTGTCTCCTCCCTGTGCTCTGCCCCTCTGTCTGACTGCTCCAGTCTGTGTCTGAGTATGTGTAAGGGTTTGTGTCTGTTTCTTTATTGCTGTCTCTACATCTGTCTTAAAATTTATCATATCTCTCCGCTCTCTCTGCTCTTTGATCTGTTTCCTTTTTGCTTGCTGGTTTCGCCCTGGCTGTCTCTCCTGTGTCTTTGTCTCTGTTTCTATGTGTGTCTATCTTGCTCAGTCTCAGCTTCTGCCTCTCCCACGGGCTATCTCTGTCTCTGCCTATCTCTGGCCCTCTGTCTTCATCTCTGGCAGTCTGTCTCCATCCCTATTTGTCTCTCTGTCCCTGTCTCTGGCAGTTTCTCTGTCTCTTCTTGTCTATCTCTCTGCCTCCCTCTTTTTCTCTGACTTTCTTTCTGTCTCCCTGGCTTTCTGCATCTCTTATCTCCCTCCCCTTTCCTCTCACACCTCCGTCGGAGCCTCACCCTCACTCCTTCTTTCCCTGCCCTCCTGTGCCCACAGTGACCCCAACCAGCCGGTGCCGCAGGACACCAAGTTCATCCACACCAAGCCCAACCGCTTTGAGGAGGTGGTGTGGAGCAAGTTCAACAGCAAGGAGAAGCAGTACCTGCACATCGGCTTGAAACCACGTGTGCGTGACAACTACCGCGCCAACAAGGTGGCCTTCTGGCTGGAGCTCGTGCCTCACCTGCACAACCTGCACACAGAGCTTTTTACCACCACCACGCGCCTGCCTCCCTATGCCACACGCTGGCCGCCTCGCCCACCACCCGGTGCCCCAGGCACACGCCGGCCCCCACCACCTGCCACCCTGCCGCCTGAGCCTGAGCCTGAGCCTGGCCCCAGGGCCTATGACCGCTTCCCCGGGGACTCACGAGACTACTCCACGGAGCTAAGTGTCACTGTGGCTGTGGGCGCCTCCCTCCTCTTCCTCAACATCCTCGCCTTTGCCGCCCTGTACTACAAGCGGGACCGGCGGCAGGAGCTGCGGTGCAGGCGGCTCAGCCCACCAGGCGGCTCAGGCTCCGGTGTGCCCGGTGGGGGCCCCCTGCTCCCGGCCACCGGCCGCGAGCTGCCACCAGAGGAAGAGCTGGTGTCACTGCAGCTGAAGCGGGGTGGTGGCGTTGGGGCGGACCCTGCTGAAGCCCTACGCCCCGCCTGCCCACCCGACTACACCCTGGCCCTGCGCCGGGCACCGGACGATGTGCCTCTCTTGGCCCCCGGGGCCCTGACCCTGCTGCCCAGTGGCCTGGGGCCCCCGCCGCCCCCGCCACCCCCATCTCTCCATCCCTTTGGGCCCTTCCCTCCGCCTCCCTCCTCCGCTCCCAGCCACAACAACACGCTACCCCACCCCCACTCCACTACTCGGGTATAGGGGGCGGCCTGGGGAGGCCCTCCTCCCCAGCCCTCCCGGCCTGGGGAAGTGCCACTCAGAAGGCAGGGAGGAGGACTTGGCAACAGGCTTTTCTCGTGTGGAGCTGTCACACGTTGAGGAGCATTAGGTGGACGTGGATTTCCTCACCGGGATGCGTGTTTTGCCCATGCAGAGAGGCCCACTCTCTTCTCTGGACCTGGGCCTTTGTACAACTGGAGGGCGTTTTTTGCCCTCCGCTGGGACACCAGTCTTCGGTGTGTGGAAGCGTGGGAGCATTTTCCCACGCAGAGGTGTGCTTTCTCATGAGGGGGTGTGTTTTCCCATGTGCAGGGTAAGGTTTTTTTTGCCGCCCTGGACACATGTTGGCCCCCTCAAAGAATTTCTGCGGGGATTTGTACCCCAGAATCCTGTTCCCTCATGCCTTCTCCCACCTCCTCCCCCTTCCCCATCCCATGGAGACCCTGGAAGTGGTGTGTTCACGGACAGTGACCCTTGGCCACCAGACAACCCACGGTGGTGCCTGGGAAGTAGTGAGGAAATCACAGCCCCCCCTCCCTGTCCCCCCACTCCCACCCCAGCGAAGCATGTTTAACCCCCCTGGCACAAGTCAGATGGAGCACGTTCTCCCCGATTGGCTTCGCCTTCCACAGATGACAGACACAGATTCCCTGCTAGGGGGATGGGAGGAGATCCGTGCATCCCTGTGCTGCCTGGGAACTTGTTTTCCCATGGGTCTGGGACACATTTCTCTGAGTGGAAATATGTTCCTGCATGTGGATGTGTGTTTTCCCATGCAGACGGTTGGTTCCTTTCTAGCACCTCCCTGCATCCCCCAGGCCTCAGGCCCAGCACTTAATTCCTCCTCACACAGCAGGTGGGAACAGACTTCAGCGGACCTGAGGGGAGAGCTCTGGCTCTCCCTCCCCTAGAGATGCTGAGTTAGGGGGCGGGGGTGTGGCACCTGTCACCCACAGAGGCCATGCATGTTTAACCAAAGCCCTCATCGGGGTCTGGGACAGCCTTTCCCTCAGTCTTCAGACCGTTGCTCATCGTGCCAAACTGGGTAGGTGAGTTTAAGAGGAGAAGACCCCCAAAGTGTGCCAAGGATTCCCCAGTCCTGGGCCAGGGCAGGTAAATGTAGGGGCAGGTGGATACAGGGGAGGGAAAGTGGCAGCAAAAGGGGTCCTGCCTGTCTGTTTCCTCTCCTTATTATGTCTCATCCCTCCCTCTGTGCCTCAGTTCCCCGTTCCCCCATCTCTGTCTCTCTCTTTGAAGCTATCTCCATCTCAGCGTCAGACCAGCTTCTCCCTCGGCTGCCCACTCTCTTCTTTGACCTGCCTCCTCTTCCCTTGGCCACCAGGGCTAAAGGAAAGGAGTGGTGGAGGATGGAGGGGAGGAGAGCAGGAGAGAAAGGCTTCACAGGACAGGCTGGGGAGAGAATGAGGTCAGCTGTGCTGAGGAACAGATGGAGGGGGCAGTGGGAGACGGGGCTTGGGCTGATACCAGCAGGAAGAATTTGAAAGGACATGTGTGAGGTGACTACCCGGAGGGGACCAGAGGAGAAAGGGTTTGAGCCTCTGGGGAAAAGAACGAAGTTAGGAAGGGTTTTAAAAGACACCAGTGGAGAAGGAGAGAATCCTCATCTGCTGGCATTTTGTGGGTTTGTTAGTGCCAAACTTGAGTAGGGGGTGGGGTGCTGTCTTCCACTGACACCTAAATCCAGAATCCCTCGTCTTGGCTCCCGGGAACTTTGCCTCCTGACTGTCCCTTCTCCTCCCGCCTCCACCCATGGAAACTTAGTTCTTTTCCCACCCCTCCCTGCCTGGTCCGGCTCCTCTCCAAACAGCCATGCCCTCTAAATGCTAGGGACCTGGGCCCTGAACCCTGTAGACAGATGCCCCACAAACTGGGGTATGGGAGGGGGGCTGGGGGACCCCATGATTCAGCCACGGACTCCAATACCCGGCCCCTCTCCCCAGAACAATTCCCTGACAATCCCATATCCCCACCCCAACCCTTCGCGGCTCTGTACACATTTTTAAACCTGGCAAAAGATGAAGAGAATATTGTAAATATAAAAGTTTAACTGTTGGTTGTGCCTGCCATTATGGGGGTGGTGTGGGGCGGGGCCTGTGAAAAAATAAGCCTTGGGGAAGTGACTGCCAATGAGGGAGCAGGAGGGCCTCTGAGCCCACAGCCCTTTTCAGTGAACAGCTCCTAGCTCTGAGGTCTGAGAGAAAGGGGGAGTGGGTGCTGGAGTAAGGTCACCATGGTAATAGAGCTGTTTGGGGGAGTTCAGATCAGGAGCCGCGTCTGTGCAGAAGTCAGAGACTGGTGTGAAGTACCAGGCAGGTGCTGATAGGGGCAGACACCAGACAGGCCAGAGGGCCCATGTGCTGGTCCAGATGGCTAGCTACAGGAGAGGCATGGAAGGTGAAGGGTTTGGCTCCTGCCAAGGCCTGGGCCCAGGCTGGAGGGTCAACCATGGGCCCCAGACTCTCCCTCTTGGCACATTGTGAGGGAGAGCCCCAGCATCATTGTGACCCGTTTACCCCCAGCAGCCTCTGGGACAAGCAGGAGGGCAGGTGGATACTGGGGGCACAGTGGGCTGGGGGCCTAGGGGCCCCGGTGGCCCTAGGGACCCCCATGGCTATGGCTGAGTGGCCACCACCTGAGTGGGCCTCGTATCACAGCCCCAACACCAACAACTGCCAGGATCTGGGCAATTCCTTCCTGTTGCTGCTGGGCCTTATCGTCTGCATTAACATTGGCATCAATATGGTGACACTGGTCAGGGTGGGGCCGGGCAGGAGGGTGCTGGTAGGATGGCGGGGTCGGGGGACGGGCCTGGTGGCCAGGGCCTGCCTGGGGTCACTGTGTCCTCCCCCACCTAGCTCTGGCACAGACTCCGTGGCTTCTTACACCAAGTGTTCCATATTGTTTGTGAGAAAGGTAAGCAGGGGCTGGGGTTTGGGGTGTAGGAGGGGCAGAAACCAGGCTTTCTAGCCCTGACCCTAAGCTGGCTCCTTCCCCTCCTGCTGTCTCCTCTCAGACACCATAGCTGTGCAGCTTCTCTCCCCGCACCCTGCCTCTCCCTCCCTGTAGGAGCCAGCCTCCTCACCAGCCTCTCACCTCCCCCCGATCCACAGAAGCTTGTAAGTCATCTTCGCTTGGGAAGCAGACCCAGCCCCGGAAGCAGAGCTTCCCGGCAGTCCACCTTCGATGCACCCTGGACCCTGTGAAAATGACTGTGACCCCTCCACCCACTCGCCGCCATCGCCATCGAGGTTCTTCAGCATGCCGTGCCCACCGCCCGGTAGCCTGGGCCCCAGACACTGACAATGACGAGAAGCTCCTACATCAGCACCCAGTAATCTGTTCCCACAACTGGGATCGCCCCAAGGACTGGGAAGGCTTCCAATCTCCCCAGGGGTTCTGGGCTCCCTGGGCCCAGGACACCGTGGAGCTGCCTTCCCAGACCATCCGCTTCCAGCAGACTGTAGAGGAAAGACCCCTGAAAAGAGAGATGAGGTCAGAGCTGGGCCTAGAGGCCTACGTGTACCCTGTGAACCCTCCACCCCCCAGCCCTCAGGCCCTGAGCCACAAGAACAGTGGGGGCAGGGCAGGGGCAGGGGCCAAGGCGGAGCAGGAGCAGTGCTCACCAGCCCCGCCAACCCCGCCACCCATCCGGGGCCCAGCAATCGTCCCTGATATCCCCCAGCGCCGCTCCTCAGGCCGCATAGCGTATGATGCCCGCGATGTGAGGCGGCGGCTTCGGGAGCTGACCCGGGAGATAGAGGCCCTGTCCCACTGTTATCCCTTGGCCTCCAGATCCAGCACTGCTGAGGGGATGGGCAAGGACTGGGTATACCGTTCCCTGACAGAGAGGTGACTGGGAAAAGAATAAAAAGGAGAGAGGAGGTGGTTTGTGGTGGTGTGGGGGGTGCCAGAGCCCACACCGCACCCAGAAGCCCTAGTTGCTAAGGGAATGATCTCCCTGGCGACAGGGCTAGCGAGCCCTGAGGACCCTCGTCAAACTCTTGGCCTCCCCAGCCCTTGTCCTCAGCCTTTCCCAGGCCCTTCTTGCTGGTAAGACTCCCACCTGACTCTACCCTGTTTTATTTAGTGCCCAGAGAAGCCCCCCAAATCCCAACCCAGATCCCCAGGCACTCTTGCACTAGAAGAGAAACCCTCATCCCCATGGCCCTAGCCCCTCAGAGATGTGGTTCCTGCCAGAGCCCAGGTTTAGGCTGCAGCTATGGGTGAGGTGTCGTTCCCTCTTAAGCCCTGGTTTCTTCGGGGAGGGATCCTGAGAGTGACAGTATCCAGGCCCTCACAGTTCCCCAGTCAGAATCTGAAGCCCCTGTACCCTGGAGCAGGCTTGGAGCAGAGGAAGAGATATTGGGGACACTCTCAAGGGCTGCCTCATCATAACATCACAGCCCTCTGTGACCTCACTCTTCTGATTAGCACCTCCATGTCACAAATGCGACTGAGGCTCAGAAAGACCAAGTGACTTATTCATGGTCACAAGGGCACCAAGGATCAACTTCACGGCCTCAGGTGCTCCATCCCCCTCCTCTCACAGGTAGATCCCCATTGCCACTGAGTCAGCCTGGCCCATCACAGTCTCCCACCTGCAGTCCACCATGGAACTCATCAGAATATCCCATCCACTGGACAGCAGGGAAACCCTACTCCTAGACAGTTGGGATCACACATGCATGCACACATGTACAAGTGTGTGCACATACACAACCCGAGAACAAGGAGCCATGTGAGTGTGCCCAGGCTGAAGGAGCTGGACCTCATCTTCCATACCAGATGGGTTCCTGGAATGTACTCAGGATAGGTACAGGCCTTTTGTGAATCGCCCTGCTTCTCTGATGATTTTCATTCAACTATCATAATTGAACATTTTAAGCTGATTCCATTCAGTGAGTATGCATCGAGCACCTCCTATGTGTTTGGAGGCTTGATGGGAAATGCCCACTGGCTGTTTCTCTATTTTTTTTTTCTTTATTGAAGTAACATTGGTTTACGACATTATATAGATTTTAGGTGTTATCACCTGAATTATAATTCGACTTCTGTATAAAGTACATCATGTTCACCACCAAAAGCTGTTCCTCTGTTCTGCTGAATTGTTCACTGTGCAAACAAATGACTTGAGGTCCCCAGGGCACCACTTTCACAGACCCCAGTAATGAACCTAGTTTAAATCGAAGACTCTTTTTGTCATACCAACAATTACATCTATTTTGTGCTTTGTGAATTTCATGTGGTTTTCTTAAGGTGGCAGCTAGCAGTTTTTCAATTTAGAAGGGTGGCTCAGTGGGATGGCATTTGGTTAGCAAGGAGAGGAACCATGGTTGGGAGTGGTCCCTGGCAGAAGCAGCAACCCCAGCAAGGCAGAAGTCAGTCTTGCTCTGAAGCAAAAGGGCCAATAGGCTCATCGAGCACCAGCACGGAAGGCTGCAATCCCTGGCCAGGAGGGGGTGGGTATGGTGGGTGCTAGAGGGATTATGACAGGGAAATGGGCAGGACAGGGAGGGAATGGTACCGTGGGGTGATCCCAGAAGGGACTCTTGCTGTCATTCATCCATCTAGTCACCCTAGCTGCTGGACCCAAGTAAGCATGGGTGGAAGTACCAACAGGCTACATAAGCTGCCATAATGTCTCAAAAGAACAAAATGGAGGAAATCTTTATGCATGATTCAGTTCCTGTGAAGATCGTCTCACAACTGTAGCTACCATATTTTCAAATCAAGAATCAGGTGTTGAGTTAAGCAAGCCACCATGGAGACAGAGGGACAGACTGAACTCTGGGATATCTAGGGATTGGGCTTCGCTGACTGGGAGCCAAGGGCAGAGATGGCTATCTATAGGGCCAGCCAAGTGGATAAAAGAGCTGCCACCTCTGCATTGTGACTCCCCCCAAAGTGCCTAATTATGACCCGGCTGCCTCACCAGCTGGTAAGTGTCCCCAGGTCCTGGCATGAGTGCAGTGTGGGTCGGGGCTGGTGGGGGGGCGTGGCCCAGGTGGCCCTAGGACCCCCCCACCATGGAAAACCAGCTCTGGTATAACACCCTGGGGTGCTGCAATCAATACCAAGAAGGTCCCCAGGAAGCTGAGGACTTCCTACTCCTGCTCCTGGGCCTCATCATTCTTGTCAACATTGGGATCAACATGGCAACTGTGGTCAGTGATGATTGTGAACCACCCCTAGGGATAAAGACGGCTGAGGATAGAAGCCAGCTGCAGCCTGCACCTCTACCTGCAGGAGTGGTCTTGGCTGGGATAGGGGTGGAGGGTGGGAGTGGAAAGCCTGGCCTTCACTCTCACCCCGCTACCCTACCGCCCCCACCCCCCAGATGTGGCATGGGCTCCAGAATGTCTTAGACAAGACGATCTGCTGGATTAATCAAAAAAGTAAGTATGATAGCTAGAGAGGTAGGGACTGCCCGCCACCATGCGACCACAGCCCTAGAAACCCAGGCCCTGGTGTTCTCAACCCTGAACTCTTATGACAATTGCCCTGCGCTCATGGACTCTTGCTTCCCTCAGATGAAATCTTGCAAGCTTGTGAAAGTTCTCCCAAAGATTCACCACCCAAGGCCCAAGACGTCCACATCTACTGCACCCTGGACCCTGTACAAGTGAAGATGGCCCGGCCCACTTGCTACTCCTCTTCTTCCTATCACCACATCCGCAACCACTGCTCACGCTGCCGCCACCGCCGCTGCTACCGCCGAAGCCGCAGCCACCAGCAGAGGCTGAAGAACCCCACACAGTGTCCCCACAACCGCTCAGTCTTCCGTAGCCAACATTGCAGCCGCAAAATGTCACAGCTGCGGCCGATGCCCTGCTTTGATGGGGAGGGTCTGGATTCCTACCTGGAAGAGGAGGATGACCTGTCTTTCCCATATCCCAAGTACCCACGGCGGGGCTGGGGAGGGCTCTACCAGCGAATGGGCCTGCCCTCCCCCATGAGGCTGTGGGGCCGCCAGGGTGGGATTCTGGCCAGCCTGCCACCACCCTCTCTCTACCTGTCACCTGAGCTGCGCTGCATGCCAAAGCGTGTGGAGGCCAAGTCAGAGCTGAGGCTGCAGTCCTACAGGCCCCACTGCTCACAGTCCCGCATCTGGGGCAATATGGAGACTGAGCAGTGGACCTCATCCCCACCACCTCCCCGCCAGCTGCTCCGTAACCCCTCCTGGGTCCCCGGGGGGCACAGCCCTTACTCCTCAGGGGGCCAGCTACTGTATGACTCCTGGGATCAGCGGCGGCGTGCTCTGGAGGGCTCTGAGCCTCCCTGTGTCCTGGTGCGCCGGGTCTCCCGGGCGGAGGCTCGAGAGCCCTACTCCCCTCAGTCCCACCGGCGGAGCCTCCCCAGCCACGCTTACAGCCAGCCCAACCGCAGCCCCCACCCATCCACGGGACACTTGAGCTACAGCTCCCGAGATCCTCAGGAGGTCCGGCGCCGGGCGGCCGAATGGGCTGAGGCTCTGCCCGCTCGGCACCCTCTGACTACCTCCACCTCCCTCACGGTGTTGGGTGAGGCCTCATACCAACGGGCCCCGGCTCCCAGCCCAGCCCTGCTCTCCCGCTCCTCCCAGCGCCTGCCCGAAGTCCAGGCTGCTGAGCTCTCCCCACCTCCGCCCACCTTTGTGCCACTCAGACGGAATCCGGGGGGCAATACCAACCACCAGGTGTACGACAGCCTGGAACTGAAGCGGCAGGTGCAGGAGAGCAGAGCGCGAGCCAACTCACTGCCGCCACCTTCCACCTCGGCCTCGAGGCCCTCGGTGCACAGGAGCCGGATGGGGAAATTTAACTGACCAGCGGCGACAGCAGGCAGTGGGGCAGGGCATGGAGAGAGGAATAAAGAGCAACAGAGTCCAGGAAACACTGTGGTGGTCTGTGGCTTGGAAGCACCACTCCTTCTGCCAACCTGGGTCCCTGGCCTTGGCTTCCTGAAATGAGAAGCCAGTGTCTCCTTCTTGGCATAAATTTCCCCTTGACCACAGTCCTCCCAGCAGGATCCCCCTGGTCCTGCACCATGCACTAAGCAGATCTTGCAGCTGCAGACTCCAAACTACTGGTCTCTGGGCACCAACTCTGTGTCTCTGCTCTCCCTGTCCCCAAAGGAGTTTCAGCCCCATGTAAGAAGCTGAGGTCAGATTCCAGACATGGGGGTTCCACATCTGAGCAGATGTAGGCCTTGGCCCAGTGAGTGGCAGGAAGGCCGCCAGGGCTCTGGATTCCAGCCAGGCCTTCCCCAGGGCCCTGAGGCCAAGGTCTTCCCAGTCTCGGGAGTGGTCAAGGGGATGGAACTCGTGAGTGTTTGAATGAGTGAGTCAGCAGGCAGAGAGGGAACAAATGAGGGTGGGAGGGGAGGTGTGCTGTCTTCCCAGCCCTGTTTGACTGCCCAGGCTCGGGTTACCTGAACCCAGTTACCATGGAATGCCACCCTATGCCCTCCTTTTCCTCCCCCTCCTTCATTGTGACCCCAACCACCTGCCCCATTATGATCCAGTCCTTCTCCCCCTCCCCCACCAGAGGACTCTGGATCCTAGTGAGTATATGGGGGCCAGGGGGCCCAGGTAGTCCTGGGACCCCCGGCCATGGGTGAGCGAGCCCACCACAGAGCCCAAGTGTGCTCTGGCACCAACCTCAGGAAGTGCCAGGACCTAGGAGACTCAATTCTTCTGATTCTGGGCAGTTTCATCTTGCTCAATGTGGGAATCAATGTGGTGATTCTGGTCAGTGCGGGGTCTGGGCACCAGGGTTGGGGGAGCTCTGGGGTCTTGAAGGAGCTGAGGTGAGAGGGCTGTTGGAATGTGGCCAGGGTGGGACTTCAGGGCTCACCTACTTCTGGACTCTCCCCTCTCCTGCTCCCCTCAGCTCTGGAAGCATCTGAAGAGCTCCTTGCGGATTCTTTTCCATCGTTTTTTCCCCAAAGGTGAGTGGGCCCCAGCATGGGCTCAAGAGGATGTGGGTCTGTCTCCTTTCTTCTATCCCTCTCCCCATTCTCAGCCTCTCAGGAACCCAGCCTTGTCCATCCCACCTTTCCCTGCAGACAAGCAACCCAGCTGTATAGGCAGCCATCCCATGTGTATGCACTGCTCCGTGGATCCCAAGAACCTGTTCTCAAGAGTCTCTTCCCGCTTCCATCGTCACCCAAGCCTCCTGCTCGGGCACCCTAAACACCTTGACTCCTGGATACCAGACACGAATGATGAGAAAGCTTCTAGGTGCTGCTGCATGCCACCTCAGTATGGACAGGCCAGGGCTCCCGTGGAGGCTCCATGGGGACTATGGAAGGAAGGGATGATGGGAGTTGGGGAGGCCTCTCAGGTCCCAGCCTTAAAGACCCAAGCCACCTTTATCTCCAAGCAAGAGACATCTTCCCAGTTCCCCAGGATGAGCAAGTTGGACACGGTTCCACTCCACTTGCCCCAGAAGAGCAAGACTAAGACCCCAGACTATGATCCAATCCATGCCCCGACCCAGGCCCCAACCCACTCCCCAGTCCACCCCCCGGAGCACACCCACCCCCAGGTTCAGATCCGCTCCCTAGTCCACCACCCTGAGCACACTCCCACCCAGGCCCAGACCCACTCCCCAGGCCACCCGTCTGAGCACACCCCTGCCCAGGCCCAGACCCGCTCCTCAGGCCACCCCACTGAGCACACCCCTACCCAGGCCCAGACCCGCTGCCCAGGCCACCCGCCTGAGCACACCCACCCCAAAGTTCAGATCTGCTTCCCAGGCCACTCCCCTGAGCACACCCCTGCCCAGGCCCAGACCCACTGCCCAGGCCACCCCCCTGAGCGCACCCACCCCAAGGTTCAGATCTGCTCTCCCAGCCATCCCCCTGAGCACACCCCCGCCAAGGCCCAGGGCCCTGAGCACACCTCAGTCCACACCCTGGGCCACAGTCCTGAGCACATAACAGTCCACTCTCCAGCCCGCACCCTGGCCCAGGCTCATCTAAACTATACCCACGCCCACACCCTGATCCCTGCCCCAACCTCTGTCCCAGCCCCTCCTCCAACTTCTGCCCCTGCCACTACTCCTGCCCCAGCCCCTACACCAGCCCCTGTCCCAATCTCTGCCCCAACCCCTGCCCCAGCATTGGTCATGGCCATGACTACCACTCCAGTCCCTGCTCCTGTCCCTGCCACCACCCCTACTCACATCCTAACTCCTATTCCCTCTCCCCCGGCTGCCTTCAGCCAAGGCCTCTCCACTGGCCATGTGGTCTACAATGCCCGCAGGGTTAGGCAGAACTTATTCCATGTGTGCCCCCCGCCAAACTCTGAATATTCCAGAAAGTACTTGGGCACCCTTTCCAGGCCCCAAGAGGGACAGGGCCCAGTGAGCTCTGGTACAGCTAAGCAAACAGTGAACCAACGTAGTGAGGACAGTGCCAAGCCCTCCACAGGATCCATACTGGGTTACCTGGAGTTGGGGAATATGGAATGGAAGGTCTCAAATGATGCCAAAGACAAGTTCTTACAGCCCAAGACCTTCCCTTACTGCAGCTTCCATCCTTGCAGTTCTGAGAGGAGAAACACAGACTCCCAAGCTCCAGTCTACCCCAAATTCCTGGTCTACTCCAAGGATGCTACACCTTCTCAACCTTGCTTTCATTCTCCAACCAATGCCCGGAGCTCACCATGCACCATTCCTCCACCATGCACTCTTTCTCTGCCTCTTGTTTCTCCCAGATCCTTTGTCCTTCATCAAGCTGCCAACAACCAGAAGCCCTCCACCATAATACAAACTCCTACCTCTCCCGCAACCTCCAAGTCTACTCAGTCTGTCCCCTCTTCCCAGTTTCCCATCCCTCTGCAGTTCTCCACCATTTCCCAACCCCCAATCCAACCCCAATCTCCTGAATTTCATGAGAGTCTAGGCCTCACCCAAGACTCTGGCCTCCAAAGGACCCCAAGCCCTTCAAAAGACTCTAAAGTTCCCAGGAACCCAGGTCTTACCCAAAATCCAGGCCTGCACAAGAACCCAGGCCTTACCCAAAATCCAGGCCTCTACAAGAACCCAGGCCTTGTTCAAGATCCAGGCCTACGTAAGCGCCCAGGCCCTACCCAAGACTCTAGCCTTCACAAGAATCCAGTCATTACGCAAGATTGTGGCCCGCAAAAGAGCCTAGATCCTACCCAAGATGCAGGTATCTTTAGGAGCACATGTCTCACCCAACACTCTGGCCTCCACAAGAACACACCATTTCCCCAAACTTCTGACATTCAGAGGACCTCAGGCTTTATGCAAGAGACTGGAGTTTCTAGGAATCTAGAAGGAAACCAAGAGACTGTACTCTACGAAAGTCAAGATCTCTCCCAAAAAACTGGTCTCCAAAACATCCCAGGCCCTTCTAAAGAATGTGGAGGTTACAAGAGTGCAGGAAATGACCAAGATCCAGGAGTCTATGGGAGTCTAGGCCTTACCCAAGATTCTGACCCCCAGAAGAACCCATACTTTCCCCAAGACTCTGGAGTCAACAAGAGCTCAGGCCTTTCCCAGGAATCTGGTCTCCACAAGAGCCCAGGCCTTGTCCAAACCTCTGGCCTCCATAAGGGCTCAGGCCTTACCCAAGACTCAGGAGACTACAAGAATCCAGAGACTACAAGAGACAATAAGAATACTCAAGGTTCTGGAGTCTACAGGAGCCTGGGCCCTACTCAAGATTCTGACCTCCATAAGAATCTACATCCTACCCAAGTCACTGAAGTTGAAAGGAAATGTGGTCTTACCCAAGATGTTGGAACTCAGAGGAGCCCAGAACATACCCAAGACCCCAAATGCCACAAGAACCCAGGAATTAATCAAGATCCTGGCCCCCATAAGGGCCCAGCCCTTACCCGAGACTCTGGCCTCCCCAAGACTCAAGGCCATACCAAGGAATCAGGCCTCCACAAGGACACATGCCTTATCCCAAATCCTGACCTCCACAAGAACCCACACCTTGCTCCAGGTACTGAGTCTGTCCAAGTCTTGGGCCCACCTCAGACCGCAAAGTCAACACTGTCCCCGATGAAGTCATCTGTATCTGCGGAGACTCCTCAGAAGGAGGATGCAGAGCAGCACATACTATGGACTTCTGTCCCACTCAGCCCGAACTCCTGCTCTTCCAAGGCGCAGGTGATCTACAATGACCTGCAAACCTTCTCAGAGGTACCTGTACTAATTGAGCTGCAACCATTGTCTCGGCGAGCAGGTAGCCAAGACTGGATGTACCACCCTGTGGATACTATTCCTCCAGCCTGCCAGAACTATCGCCAGATGTCTATGCCTCCCCAAATCAACTGGAAGCCCCACTGTCCCGGGCAAGGCACCCGGGTAGGACAGGTGGTCTTTGATGCCCGCCAGAGACAGTTTGGAGTGGGCAGGGACAAGTGTGAAGCTCCATCTCCCAGGCGCCTTCGCCAAGAGGTACCCAGCAAATCACCAGAGACCATCAAGGAGTGGGGATATCAGTGTGTGATGAGAACCTCGGAAAAAGAGGGGACAAATGTGCATCAGGAATAAAGAGGCAAGAGAAGTGTTCTGTGCTTGTTTGAGGGCACCCATCCTATCCCCATTCCTGACACTGGCTCCCCACAAGGCCTATGAGGACTGGGGCTATCCTTGCCCCTGCCTCTCCTTCATAGTAGCGGAGCCAAACTCGTTATCCCCAAGGCCCTAGAGTTGCATTGTCCAATACAGTAGCTACTAGCCATATATGGTTATTAAAATATAAAATTAATTAAAATTAAATAAAATTTAAAATTCTGTTCCTCAGTTTCATTATCTACATTTCAAGTGCTCAATAGCCATGTGCGGCTAGTGGTTACTGTACTGGACAGCACAGATTTAGAACTTTTCCACCATCACAGAAAATCCTAATGGATAGCAATGCTTTAGAGTTTAGAGGAACCTTCCTTTCCCTTGTCACTCATCCTCAGCATCTTCAAAGGTTCCGCAGAGCCCAGAGAGCTTGGTTCTTTTTAGGGTGGCTCAGAAGTCACCCTCTGGGGAGGAAGTAAGACATCAGGATGCCTGATGCCTGATTACCCCAGACTGGAAGAAAGAGCCCAGTCTTCAGTTTTCCTGATCTAGTCTCTCAGGTCACAATCAGATGTATGGAAACCTGCCTCCCCAGTCCTGGGCTATGTTTTGGGGCTCTCTGTTACTGAGGAAGAAGAGGTCTCTTTGTTAGTGACTAGGAATCCCTGAGATCTGTGCTCCCCAAATTGAGCTCTGGATTCTGACAGTCCCCTCCTTTACAGGCCTCTAATTTTCCTCAGTCTCTTGCCCATGGACTTAGGCCCATCTCATTCTGGAGACAGTCCCCAGGGAAATGAAAATGTAAGAAGTCCTGGTCCAGTGATGGGTTGGTCTGATCTGTGAGCTTGTCCCTGGTTTCCTATCTTTCTGTCCTATTATTCTGTCTCCTAGTTTCATCTTGGACTTAAGCTGTGTCCCTGATAGCACTGGTTACTGACAGCAATTTCCTTTCCTTGATAATTTTCCATTGCCCTGCCCCAGTCCAGCTGGGAGTTTCTTCTGGTCTTGGTTTTCAGCCTGGATAACTCTTCTGTGTACACACAAGAGCTGCGAGATTCCAAAGTGTTTTCCCTGCCACCACTCGTGTGTGTCTGAGGTGGGCATCGCTAATACGTATGTCCCTTCCCCAAGTCAGATGTCCATTTCTGGGTTACCACCTGTGTGTTCTTGCTTAATACCACAACCACTGATTCCAAGGAGATGCCTGCCTCCCCACCCAGCCTGGGAACCCATTTCCAACACCTCTCTGGCTCAGCTCTGACCCTGCACAAGTCATGTGCAACCTTTCTAGGGTGCAATCTCATTTGCAAAATGAAGTTACAATTGCATGGAGGAAACCTCCTAAATCCATGTGACCAGGGCTCCTCTATTCACACATGGAAAGTAGAGGCCCCTATTTCTCCAAGGCCCTAGGATATGTCCCCCATTATTGTTTGCTATTCAGATCCATCCTATTACTCCTCTGCTGCAACCCCAAGGAATGTTTGTATGGGGTTGACTTGGGATTGGAAAGACAAGGAACAGTTTGTCTCCAAAGAAACTACAACTTCCATCAGGCACTACTTCAGCGGAACAAGAAAGAACGTGAGGGCGTGGCCCCAACGCCCTGATAGCACGGAAGACAAACTACAACTCCTAGGATAGCGCGAGATCTCCGCAAAGAGAAAAGAGTGACTGAACTCTGACTGGAGGAGGGGCTCTCACGGAACCACCCCGACAAGCTCCAGAAAGGGGCGTGGTCATATTTGGGGCGTGGCCTTATGGGCAGCAGGAAGAAGTTACCTGTTGAATCGTTCTATCCATTCTCTTTCCAACCCTTGTAGCTACCCCTAAGAGGGAAGCCGCAGACCATAAGCCTTTTCCGAAAAAGAGGTAAGGGGAGGTAGACAAGGGGCAGCGGAGGAGACTGGCTATCGCATTCCGTAGGATGGGTCCAAGGGCTACTTTTTACCTGCTGAGTCAGGTGAACTGGTCCATGGGGGCGGGGACTAGCATATGAGAAAAGGGCAAGGACGGGGGAGGTATTTGTTCGTTTTCAAGACTAAATTTAGAGCCCTTCATCTTCAGACCCGTTGGCAGACTGTGTCTGGGGCACTCTCTCGGCCTCGGGAAGAGAAAAGAACGGGGGCGACTTTTCGGCAGCAAAGGAACGGCCTGTGTAGGCTTTCTCACGTCCGTGTTTTCCCTAACCCAAAACGATAGAGCCACATGGCTTCCACGGTCTGGGGGAGCGCTCCCTGGTGGGGCCCGCCTCCCCCAGCCCCAGCCCGGCCCCTCACGGACATCGACTTCTGCTCTGGGGCGCAGCTGCAGGAACTAACCCAGTTGATCCAGGAGCTGGGTGTGCAGGAGAGCTGGAGTGAAGGGCCCAAGCCGGGACCAGACCTCCTCCGGGCCAAGGACTTTGTCTTCTCTTTGCTGGGTAAGTAACCCTCCCTGCCTTCGGGAACTCGCAGCTCTCAGCCCCGTCCCGGCTTTGGGTCACGCCCTCACAATGCCTTCTTTCCCTTAGGTCTTGTTCACCGCAGGGACCCCCGCTTTCCTCCTCAGGCAGAGCTCTTGCTGCTTCGTGGCGGGATTCGCGAGGGCTCCCTGGATCTGGGGCCTGCACCCCTAGGTCCCTACGCCCGGGGACCTCACTACGACGCCGGCTTCACGCTGCTGGTGCCGGTGTTTTCGCTAGACGGCACTGGGCAGGAGCTGCAACTGGATTTGGAATCCTGTTACGCCTGGCTCTGTCTCCCAGAGCAGATAGGCGGAACCTCGGTCCGGGAGGCGTGGCAGGATTGCCTAGGACCCCCAGTCCCAGGAGGACGTGATTCGGCCCACCGAATCGAAAGCGAAGGAAGTCCCAATGACTGGCAAAGCTCGGTGGACCAGCCGCATGGTTACATCAGTGAGTCTGAGCCGCACGTGTCTTTGGAAAAATCACCTAGTAACGTTTCAGGGCCCGAGTCACCTCTGCAAGACGTAACCGATCTTGGCTTTGCCGTACCATCGAAAAAACTGAATGGTGACGTCACCAAAGCAGCCGTCGTTAGCCCAGTCCCACAACCAGCGGAGGCTCCGGAGGCGTGGCCCACATTGTGCCCCGCACAGGTGGCTGCGTGGTTCTTTGCTTCTCTGGTCGCGGTCGCTGAGTCCCTGTTCCCGGTCTCGGGTGCCCCGCGCTTGGTCCACGCAGCCCGACACGCGGGGTTCACCACTGTCCTCCTGGCTACGCCAGGACCCCCGCGCCACCTCCTGCTCTTCGACCTGATCCCCGTGGTGTCCGTGGCCGGCTGGCCCGAGGGGGCTCGGAGCCACTCGTGGGCCGGCCCGCTGGCCTCTGAGTCGTCCTTCTACCTGGTGCCCGGCAGCGGCACAGAGCGGCCAGGCGCTTCGGGCTGGCAGCTCTGCTTCGCCCGCCAGGAGCTGGCGCTCAAGGCGCGCATCCCCGCTCCGCTGCTGCAAGCGCACGCGGCGGCCCAGGCCCTGCTGCGCCCGCTGGTGGCCGGGACCCGGGCCGCGGCGCCCTACCTCCTGCGGACGTTGCTCTACTGGGCGTGCGAGCGGCTGCCTGCGCTCTATCTGGCGCGCCCGGAGAATGCGGGCGCCTGCTGCCTCGGGCTGCTGGATGAGCTGGGCCGTGTGCTCGAGGCCGGGATGCTGCCCCACTATTTTCTGAGTGGCCGAAAGCTGCTCGCGGGGGACGGCGCCGCTGCGCTGCGCGGGGCGTTGGCCCGGCTCCGCGGGGACCCTACCCGGGCCCTGCGCGCAGCGGTGGAGGAGGCAAAGGCTGCACGCAAGGGGGGCGGCTTAGCTGGCGTGGGAGGCGGGGCCCATTAAAGACGCTGCTCCTACCGGCGTGGAAAGTGCTTCTTGTTGGCCAGCGGAATGTGGAGGGTGACTGCTCGCCCCTCGCCTGGGAGACACAACTAGCGCCCTGCCCAAAGATCCCGTTCTAGAAGGCCTCCTCGCCGGTTCCTCCCCATCCTCCCACCCCATTCTTGGCATAGGTCGTTCCATTCCGGCCTCTCTACATTCCAAATCTGTGCCCAGCAATTTTCCCACTCCGGTCCAGCCTCCGGCAACCATCTCCCCCTAGTTCTTATGGTCTTTTCTCTTAGTAGTCAATAGGATGGGGGGAATGTATTTGCTGACAAAAGTGGAAAAGAGAGCGGTATGGAGACCAGCGACTGACCAATTTGGCTCACACAAAAGCAGAGATATTAAGGAGGCCGGATTTCGCCCCAGGCTAGATCTCACCACTACCTCTATCTCTTCAGTTATTGTCCCCATTTCCCTCATCCAGTTGTGAGCTCCCATCCCGGGCTGTAGGGTCCCTTTCTCTATTCTCGGGGCGTCCGCCATTCCATCTGTCTTAAGCCCAACCTCTCCCCCCACCCAGGGTTCCGTTCAGTGGAGTCGCCTCCTTGTCCCTCCTCCTCTGAAGCCCGAGACATGCGGCCTTGCCTCGGCTCCGCCTGCCCCTAGGACCGTCCCCACTCCCTGCCTCCAAGGAACCCCGGGGTTCCGCCCGCCCAGCTTCACCCCCCTCTTCCCCAGCGTCTCCGCCCCCTGCCCCGCCCCCGGGCCCGCTCTCCGAGGAGGGGGAGCTGCTGTCGCCGCCGCCTCCTCAGCTTCCCAACAGCCGCTGCCGCTGCCGCCGCTGCGCTTGGTCCAGCCGCCAGGCCCAGTGCTCCGACTTCGCTGTACCAGGGCGCTCTGCGGAGACACCCTCACTCCTTCCTGGGGTCCTGGGCGCCTAGCCAGGCGTGGGGGGAAGCTCCGCTTGCTGGGGGCAGGGAGGGAGGAGCCTGGAACCGGAGCCAGCGCCACCCGTCGCCGGATCAACAAGACAGGACAGGTTGAGGGGCGTCGGGGAAGGAAGAGGGGGTGCTATAGGCAGTCTTGGGGAGGACAGGAAGCTCTGATGCGCTCTGACTTGTAGGGGGCCTGTGCACATTTGGGGACTAGTGACAACGTGGGTGCACTCCTCTCGGGGGGCTGCCTGGATTGGAGGGCGTGGGATCTAAACAGCACCAGCTGTTCCCCAGGAAATTAAGGGGCAGCCAGAAAAAAAAAACACCCCGATGTTCCTTATTTCGAGGTAACAGGGACCTCCAGACAACCACCCGGTGTATCCACTAGGAAGGGCGGCTTTGGAGGTGACTTCAAAAGGAGTGGAGGGTAACAAGGTGAAGAAAGGGGCTCAGCCGCTTGGAGCCCAGCACCACTAGAAATGGGAGTGACTTGGTGAAAAAAAGGCATTGTCCAGAGACAGGGTCTGGGATCCCCTTCTCTCTGACCAGGAACAGCCTGGATATTCCCAGACATAGTGTTTGGGGATTTCAGTAAAAAAAGTGGGGGATCTTCTCCACTTAGAGGATGAAGAAGACACCAAGGTTGGGTTCCTTCCTGACATTGGCAGCGCCCTAGTAGGGGTGGGGTGGGGTGAGCTAATATATCCCCAAAGCTAAGGACCCACACCTTTTAGATTACAAGAGTGGATTTGGCAGGCGAGCAGGGCCCCAAAATAGGGTGGAAAGGTGCCTGGGGATATTGGAGCCACATCTTGGGAATTTTGAGGGTCTTGGCTTTGGGATAAGGGAAGTGGGAACAGGGACACTGGAGAGCAGGGAAGGGGTAGTTTTCAGTAGGGGGCAAAAGTCGAGGGTGGGGTCAACTGAGAGGCACCTAGGCTGCTGGGTCCGGTGGGGCTAGGACGGAGCCCAAGGGTGGGAGCCGGGGGCTTGGGGGTGAGGGGAGGGGTCTATGGTTTAGCCTCAGGTCCTGTGGGTGGGGCGCTGAGTCGGGACTGTAGTGTCGAGCATGCCCTGGTGAGCGGGCTTCTTTGGGGGAGCCCAGCGCGCTCCGGACGCTTGCTGGTTTGGGGGTGTCTCTTCCCGGGGCGCCATGGCGGCGCTGGCCAGTAGCCTGATCCGGCAGAAGCGGGAGGTCCGCGAGCCCGGGGGCAGCCGGCCCGTGTCGGCGCAGCGGCGCGTGTGTCCCCGCGGCACCAAGTCCCTTTGCCAGAAGCAGCTCCTCATCCTGCTGTCCAAGGTGCGACTGTGCGGGGGGCGGCCCGCGCGGCCAGATCGCGGCCTGGGTGAGTGGCTGGGACGGGGTCTCCCGGCCTTGGGTCTCTCTGCCTGGGAGGTTGAGGCCAGGGACTCCGAAGAATGGGGCCGGATGGAGGGGGCTCCCCGAAAGTGAAAGGGGGTGGGCGAGAACAACGAAGTCTCTCCCGGACTATGCCTCAGTTTCCCTTCTCTTTTGTCCGTAACGCCGACTCTCCTTGCTTTCGAGGGCAAGGGGAAGGCTTGAGGGGCTAAGCCGGGCGCCCCGAAGCCTCGCAGCTCCTGCTTGCCGCCCCCAACACAGGAGTCCCCACCCCCACCGTTCTCCGCCTACGTGCCGGCTCTCGCGATTCTTTCAATCCCGAGTGGAGGGGCCTGGGGGTTCCGGACGCCTGGGTGACCCCGAGGGTTCCTGCGGCTCCGGCAGCCCCGCCCCCGCCCCGGTTCTCCCGCTCCTCCCCGCCTCGGCTGGGTTCCTCCTGGCCGAGCATGCCTGGCTCGGCGCCAAGCTCCCCAGCTCTCCCCCGGGTGTCCTTGCAGCTACCTCGCCAGCCCGCCCCTCTGTGCGCCCTCCTCCCGCGACCTGCGCTTCAAGAAGGGAACTGGGCACCCTCCATTACCCCCTACTCGACTCCAAAATCGGGTCCCACAGACTCAGGGGACCCTCTGCCTCGAGGAACTCAGACACAGTACGTGGCTGGAGACTCACGCCGAGACTAGGGGGTCGTACCACCTCCAAGGAGGTACAGGGAAGTCGGCCTAGAGCAAGCGACGGGGAAGGAGAGTTGTGAGGGTTAGCGTGTGGTCCCCGTCCAGGTACGACAGGCAAGCAGTCCCTCTGGCCTCACTCCCGCCCGCTCCCAGCTCCCTTAGGGGTGGCCCTTCGCGCTCTCCTCCCCCCGCCGCCGGCCGTCCACAGTGGTACGGTCCGCAGCCCACCCTTTGAGTGGGACACGGCCCCACGTGACTCAGGCTGCCTCGCCAGCTCCCCGGCCCCCTCCTCCCATTTCCTCGATTTGGTACCGAATGTCCCCCACCCCAGGCGATTTACCTGGCTGAGTCTCAGGGAGAGCTGGGCCCCCGCGAGCCAGCAGACTGACAGACAGACAGACAGACAACAGATAGATGGGTCAGTGTCAGACAGACCGGCGCTGGGCCAAGGCAAGGCCCGCGCCCAGCGAGCGGCAGCCGCAGCAGCAGGTGCTGAGTCAGCGTCAGGCCCAGTCCCACCCCCACTCCTGAGGCGGCGCCCCTACCCTGTGGTCACCTTGCTGCCCCCTACGTTAGCCAACATACTGCCCCTTCAGCCACCCTGCCTGTCTCCCTCTGTCTTCTGCCTTTTGCTGTAGCTCTCCCCTTCCTCTTCCCTCTTCTCCCCTCCCCCCACTTCTGGTTGAGCTGTAGAGTAGGAATTAAGCAATTTCAATAAATTTCAATAAATTAAACTGAAAGCTGGTGGTTAGAAGAACCAGAAGGGACCCACACCCCAGCTTTCTCAGGAGTCAAGGAGAGGTGGGAGACAGCTTGCTTGGAGGATCAGAGAGCTGGGTCCCTGGGACCCTCTTCCTTCCCTCCATTCTCCTTTCTTTTCTTTCTTCTGGTCCTGCCAAGTGTAGAAATGTTTCTGGGAACAGAGCTGTCATTTTCAAAGATGAATGTCTCTCTCTCCAGAGCCTCAGCTCAAAGGCATCGTCACCAAACTGTTCTGCCGCCAGGGTTTCTACCTCCAGGCGAATCCCGACGGGAGCATCCAGGGCACCCCAGAGGACACCAGCTCTTTCAGTGAGACGGGAAGCCAGCGGCTGGGTGGGAAGGGGGAGATGGGGCTAGGAGATGACAATCCTATTCCCTTTCAGGTTCTGTTGTTTTCATTCTGACTCTTTGACCCCCAAGGGAGGAGGTGGAGCTGAGATGGGGGCAGCTCAGATGAGGGTTCGAGGCCTGGGGTACTGACACCCTCTCTCTCCACCCCCAGCCCACTTCAACCTGATCCCAGTGGGGCTCCGCGTGGTCACCATCCAGAGTGCCAAGCTGGGTCACTACATGGCTATGAACGCTGAGGGACTGCTCTACAGCTCGGTGAGACAGTGAGGCTGAGTGGCCTGGGGTTTGGGGACTCCCCTAGCTACAACCTTCTCAACTACAAATATTTTGTAGTTCAGGACTCCCTCTCCCTCTAGCTCTTGCTGATGTCCTGTCATCACTGCTCACTTCAGAGCACCTCCTCTAGGGTCCCTCCAATCCATACTCCTTACACAGCCCCCCAAGTACTCCCAGGCTCTTTGAATGTCGAACTCTTTCAGCCTTTGAGGGCTCCCATTTCTCATCCTAACTCCTCTAGACTCATTATTACTCACTTCCCCAGATTCATTCAGGATAGGGGATGGTGGAGGTTGGGAGTAAGTGGAGAGAAGGCATCTTCTTATTCCAGGGCTCCCAAAAGACTAGTTCCTGACCCTCAGAGGCCTGCCTCATCCTCTCTTTCTCCCAGTTTCTGCATGGGCTCAGAAGTTGGCCCTCTCAACCTGAAATATATGGATTATACCCTGGCTTGTTCTTCCTAGGGCTCCCTTCTGTCCAGTGATGTGTCTTTTTGTCTCTCTGTCTGTGTGTGCCTTCCTGGGTCTTTGTCTCCTCAGCCACATTTCACAGCTGAGTGTCGCTTTAAGGAGTGCGTCTTTGAGAATTACTATGTCCTGTACGCCTCTGCTCTCTATCGCCAGCGTTCTGGCCGGGCCTGGTACCTGGGCCTGGACAAGGAGGGTCGAGTCATGAAGGGAAATCGAGTCAAGAAGACCAAGGCAGCTGCCCACTTTGTGCCCAAGCTGCTGGAGGGTGAGTATGGACTCAAGAAAAGGTGGGCCGCATGGGAGGGTATTGACCTTGACATGGATATTTAGCTCAGGGGCTACAAGTGTTAAGAGGACACCTGCTATGACAGGTCAAGCCAGGAAGCTTTGGCATTTGGGGGTTTGGGGAGCTCTCCTCTTGTGGGCTGGGGTTCCCAGAGGATAAGTGTAGGAGAGGGGAGCCCTTTCAGAGCTCTAATCCTACCTAGCTCTCTCTGTGCCTAACTCTCCTTCCTGCTCCTCTCTCTCCCCTTCACAGTGGCCATGTACCGGGAGCCTTCTCTCCACAGTGTCCCTGAGACCTCCCCTTCCAGTCCCCCTGCCCTTTGAAATGTAGTCCCTGGACTGGAGGCTCCCTGCACTTGCACTGAGCCAGCCACCACCACCTGCTCCTGGCCCTGCTCTCGCCTCTGCTGCCACACTTATGCCCTGAGCAGCCAGGTCCCACCAGGTGCTCTAACCTGAGGGAGCCTAGGGGCTGACTGTGACTTCCAGGGCTGCTGAGGCCTAGATCTTTGGGCCCAGGAGGGGGTCAGAGAGGGAGATGTCTGAAAATGGTCCTGGCTGATCACTTCTTTCCTTCCACAATCACATACCCCCAAAGCCTTTTCCCCAGAGGGCACTGGGGGTTACAAAACTGACAGAACCAGGGCATAAATACTCCTCTCCCCAGGCTCAGCCAGTTCCTAGAGCCCTATGCCCTTTTCATTGCCACTGAGCCGTAGATTTATAGGTCCACTGGAGATCAGGATTAGTTTCCTTCTTTCCTTACTCCACCTTCTGCCTTGTTCTGGACAGGTTCTGGAACACCAGGCATCCCAGCCAGGGCCATTCCTGCACTAAGGCTCTGTGCTGGAACGCAGGCATGCTGCCAGGCTCTGTTCTGGATCCATCAGTCTTCTGTCCTTGACCCAGATGGATCCATAGTTTCCAAGTAGAAAGAGGCTGGAGTTGAGCCCTGTCCAGCTGCTGGCCTTGGCCTGACTGGGACCAGTCTCAGATCACCACAGTTTTAACTTTCTTATCCCAGAGACACCCAATTCTAGAGCATGGAGTTCTAGACACACATGGAGCCATATTTCCTTTTGAATCTCAGCTCTAGGACATAGACCACGACTCTCAGCCCTTCCCCTCAGGATGGAACTGGGGCCTATATAGCCATATTATTGCTCTAGAGTAAGTTCTAGACCCACCCTCCCACCTTCTCTAGTGATACCTGTTAAGGATGAGCTCTGGAAAGGACCCAGCTATGATTTATAAAGAACTAAGTAAAGGATGGAACAAAAATCACTTCTTGTTTTTCCTAGATGATTTTCTGAAAATTGTAGTCTTCCTGTAGAATGCTAACCTTATTTTTACATGTAGTTTCTAGCTCCTGCAACTCAGCTGGGGTCCTGCCAGGGAAACAGAGTCTGAGGAAGGGCAGAGGAGTTTTGGAAGGAATCTCTGGCTCATAGTCTGGAAGCTAGGATGGGAAAGGGGCCAAAACCATGGCATGACTGGACCTGTGCTTGGGTTGGGGGCACGTGAACACTTAGCTACCTCAGCAGGAATTCCTCCAGGTCCCCTTTAAAGCTGAGGTCTTTAGGATAACGGGTCTAGACTAAAAAGTACAATGGGACATAGCCTTGACCCCCCCCCCCAGTGAAGAGACCCCAATTCAGCAATAAGTCCCACCCTTCTTGTGCTCTAGACCTCATACACCCCAAGAGCTTCTAACTGAATAGAACCTGCTTTACCTTACAGCTTATAACCTCAGCTGGGTTTTAGGTACCCAAAAAGGGCCTGACTAGATTTTTCTGAAAAACGCAGAGAGCTAGGGGCAGGCCCGAAAAAGACCTGGAAGACACCAGTGAACTATGAGGGAGACTGAGTGGCCTCATCCTGGACAGGGTAGACTGAGGGGGCCCCAAAGGGAGGGGCTAGGGTTCCGAGGCAGGTCACTTTTCCTCAGGCTCCTTCTACTTCCGGCTTGTTGCAAGAGGGGTTGATGCTCCCCTCACTCACACAGACCCCGCTCTGGCTCCATTCATCTCCTGGCTCTGCTCCCAGGGGACCGGGTCTCCACTCCATGCTTTCTCAATTAAAAACGATTTATACAACTGAAGTGTTGTCTGTCATCTGTAGGTCTCAGGCGTTGGCAGTTGCTCTGGGCGGGACTAAGTCCCAGGGGCGGGGCGGGGGGGGCTGGCTGCTGCCCCCCAGCAACAGGTGCACATTCTTGGGCGCCTCGTCACTTCCCCTGAGCTGGCGGTCTCTGCGGCTCACCGAGCGAACTCACTGAGCTACGCGGCTGGGCTATGACCCCAGGGGTGCTGCTGCTGCTGCTGGGGGCGCTGGGGGCGCCGCTCGTCCCGGGTAAGTCTGGGCCTCAAAGGGGCAGTGACAGAGCCAGAGGTCGTGGCCGGGCACCATGGCTTCACTTAGCGCTCTCCTCCTCCAGGCGCCCGCGGATCGGAGGCAGAGGGCCGACTCCGCGAGAAACTTTTCTCGGGCTATGATAGCTCGGTGCGGCCAGCGCGGGAGGTGGGAGACCGCGTCGGGGTCAGCATTGGTCTCAGCCTGGCGCAACTCATCAGCCTGGTGAGGGTGCAAGCCTGGGGCTGAGGTCCCGCCCACTGACCGGCTGGGGGCGTGGCCCTAGGCGAGGCAGGGCCCAGGGACGGCTGGGGGCGGGCCCTGGGACGAGGCCAGGCCGAGAGACAGACGGGCTGTTAGCAGAGATTGTAGCGAACTTGGACCAATTGCCCAGCTGTGAGGGTGACGCTGGACAGGCCACGGGTAGAGCAAGGTAGGGTGAGGAACGGGCCTGTGGGCGGATCTTGAAGTGGAACTGGGGATGGACAGGCGGGGGAGCGGACATTGAGGCGGGGTCACAGGCTGGGGCGGAGCCTGTGCCGGACAGCGTCAATGAACAACAGCCGGCGGACCTTCAAAGTTGGGTGAATTACGAGCTGTAGGTGGGGCCCGGGACCTAGCCAAGCGGAGGGCCGGCGAGGATGCTAGACGAATTGGCTGGCAGTAGAGACCGCAGGATGTTTCTGAGATAGAGGCGGAGCTTAAACTAACGCAGCTTCCAGGAGGTAGGGCCTGGACCCAGGAGAGGAGGACTCGGAAAAAGGGAGGAGTTTCCAGGGAGCGCTTGACCCGCAGAGCCTCTCCTTTCTCTACACTTACATCACCTCTACCCTTTAAACTTTTCCCTTCTAGAACGAGAAGGATGAGGAGATGAGCACAAAGGTGTACTTAGACCTGGTACGGTGACCCCCGCGGGTGGGAAAGGGCGTCCCGCTGTCTTTACAATTTCCTCAAATGTCTCGCCCAGTGAATATTTTTTTGCATCCCGACCTCAGAAACGTTTATAACTGAAACAGAAGCTTCAGGACACAATACTTAACTACGGGAGTTCCACTACAAACATTTTTTTATTCTAATTTTTTTTACACTGGTTTGGGGCCACTAATTTGATTCTCGCCTCACTAAAGGGTCGCGAACTGTAGTTTGAAAACCACTGTTTTAGAGGCCAGCTAGTGCAACCTCCTCATTTTACAGACTGAAAAACTGGGGACCGGTGTGAGGGAAGGGGAAATTAGCTGATGGGGTCCCAGCGAGTGCAGGTGAAGCCAGAATCAGAACCCCGGCCTTGAGAACCACAGCCCCCGCCTGCGCAGCTCTCCCTGCCCGGGCTTCCATCGGCTATCCCAAGTCCCCTCTCAGCCTCCACCCCGGGACAGCCCCTCAGCCTCTGCTTCTCTAGGAGTGGACTGACTACAGGCTGAGCTGGGACCCTGCAGAGCACGAGGGCATCGATTCACTCCGCATCACTGCAGAATCCGTATGGCTACCAGATGTGGTGCTCCTAAACAAGTAGGATCTTCCCAAAGACAGGGAGGTGGGCGGGGGCCTCCGGAGGGGCGGGGCCTCCGGAGGGCGGGGCCTGATCCTAGACGATAAGCTTCCTTCCCTGCAGCAACGACGGAAATTTTGACGTTGCTCTGGACATAAACGTCGTGGTGTCCTCCGATGGCTCCGTGCGCTGGCAACCCCCGGGCATCTATCGAAGCAGCTGCAGCATCCAGGTCTTTAAGCTCAGCCCACGAGGCTCAAGGGGCTCTCAGAAAACCGCCCTTTCCTCAGACATCCTTACTCCCCAGAGTCTCCCATCCCTCCTCCATTATCCCCCATGACCCTCACACCTCCCTCGCCCTCCTGATCAGTTGTTTCATCTTCTCTGTCCGCTTTCCTTGGCTTCCAGTCTTCCTCAGTGACCCTCCTCCATTCCCCATGGCCTCCCCTAATAACCTTCCCATTCCTCTGTGACCCCACTTCCCTGTGACCTCCCCTGGTGGTCCCTATGTCCCTGATGCCCCATCTCCTCTAACCCCTATCTGCCCTGTGACCTCCCCAACTCCCCCAGCCCCGACTAGTTCTCTGGCAGCTCGAGTGATTCCCCACTCCATCCAGGTCACCTACTTCCCCTTTGACTGGCAGAACTGTACCATGGTGTTCAGTTCCTATAGCTATGACAGCTCAGAGGTCAGCCTGCAGACTGGCTCGGGTCCCAATGCGCAGGAGCAGCAGGAAGTGCACATTCACGAAGGTACCTTCATTGGTGAGTGGGCATGGCTCCCACGGCCATGGGCTTTATGATTTCCAGTTTCTAATAGGCTGATAAATATACTCCATCAGTCATGCCCAAAACAACACCGTGGGGTCAACAAGATAGGTATGACTATCTACATTTTTCAGATATGGAAATTGAGACATTCAATATTATTAGAGATAGGCTGCCCAGCTCAGGGTCCACAGCTAGCCCCTTATCACATCAGCCCCCTCTGCTCTAGGATATGGCAGAGAACGCCATATCTGGCACCGACAAGGACAGGTCCACATCTGTATCTCCTTCTTCTGCTCTTCTTCCTTTTCCCCACCAAGAGAATGGCCAATGGGAGATAATCCACAAACCTTCTCGGCTAATCCAGCATCCGGTGGATCCTCGGGGAGGGGGGGAAGGACAGCGTGAAGAAGTCACCTTCTACCTCATCATTCGCCGGAAGCCTCTCTTCTACCTGGTCAACGTCATTGCCCCATGTATCCTCATCACTCTCCTGGCCATCTTCGTTTTCTACCTGCCACCAGATGCAGGTAAGTGGGCAAGGGGCCCCTGCCCTCCTTCTTGCCTCTTCCTCTTCACCCACAATCCAGGCAAGGTTTTCCTGCCAACTCAAGCCAACATGGATTGTGCTTCAGCTATCTCAGCCAGGTTTTCCCTTCAACCAGAGCTTAGGGTCTGGATCCAGGTTTTCCCTCCAGCCTCAGGCTCTGCCTCCCCTCTGCAGCCCACTTCTCGACACCCAGTAACTTCTGAATTCTTCCCTTCAGAATCCTAGGATCTCATCCTTGGAACTGCCATTCATTTTACAAAGAAATTCCCGGGCTTAGACTTTTCTTTTCCTCCTTCCTGGCTTCTTCCCTCTTCGACTTTTCAGACACCAACTAGTCCCTTAATCTCCTATCTCTCTTGGAAATAATAGCCAACATTTCTCTAGGAGATAGCATAATGTAGTAACAGTGTAACCCTGGGTAAATTTCTTAATCTCTATGTCCTCAGTTTCCTGATCTGGAAAGCTCTACTGCATAGGATTGTCCCTACTGCATAGGATTATTTTGAGGATTAACTGAGTTAATAAAACTATGCCTAGTACTCAGTAAATTCTATGTAAGTGTTGCTATTGTCTTTGCTATTTTTGAGCACTTGCTATAAGGTAATACAATTAACATGTTACATATATGAACTCAATTCTAACCTTTATGACAACTCTGTGAGGTAAATACTGAATTGTCTTTCCGTTTTACAGAGGAGGATAAAAAGGCTGAGAGCGTTTAAGTCGTTTGTCTGACATTACACAGTTAGAGAGAGGCAGTGTTGCTATTCCAACCCTGGTTAGTGCCAGTCTGATTCAGAGACCAATATGATATCCTTAACTCTGGTATTCAAAACATGTTTTCCTTCTCTCTGGACTCAAGTCCTCTCTCCGTCTAGGGAAGGAGAGGGATGCAGCTCTAGAACACACTTCCAAATGTAGCTTCTACTTTCTCCTGGAGCAAGGCAAATCTTGGAACCCAATGTTATGGGACTAAAGAAGAGCAGACTATAAAAGTTATTTATTTCAATCCTTTCCATGAAGTTTGATGGGCCTGTTGTATGCCACAGGAATAATCAGCCACTTGGCATATGCTTATATATTTTCTTTCATTTTTACATCGCTCAAATTGCTATGTAGTTCCTGGAAACGCTACAGTGGTTGGTCCATTCATTCATGCAGCTATATTTGTTGAACATCTATAATGTGCAAAGCACTGGGAATACATTGGTGAATAAAAGAGACAAAAAATCCCTGCTTTCATGGAATTTACATCCTAGTAGGGGAGACAGTCAATAAACATAATAAATAAATCCATTAGATAGTATATTAGAAGAGGACAAGTCCTAAGGAGGAAAATAAAGTAGGAAAAGGGGTTGAGGAGGATGAGAATGGGGGTAGAGGTTGCACTTTAAAAATAGAATGGCCAGTGAGTATCTCAATAAAAAGGGAATATTTGCTCAATTTTTAAACAAGACTTGAAGGAGGTGAGAGAATGACCCTGACAGATATCTGGGGGGAGAATGTACCAAGAGTTAACAGTGAATGCAAAGGCCCTGAGATGAGAGTGAGTGTGCCTTGCATATTTCAAGAAATAGCCAATGTAACTGAATGAAGCAAGAGAGAAAACAGTAGGAGATGAAGTTGGAGAGCTAATGGGAAGGCCTCATAGACCATAATAAGGACTTTGGCTTTTATGTTAAAGGAGATGGGAAGCCACTGGAAGGTTTTAGAAGAGGAGTGTTATGATCTGATTTACATTGTAACAGGATCAATCTGGCTGCTCTGTTGAGAACAGTCAGCAGCAAGGCAAAGGATGAAGCAAAGAGGAGGCCTTTATAATAAGTCAGACCTGAGGTAACGGTGGTTTGTACCATGTGGTAGTGGTAGATGTGATAAGTCATCAGTTTCAGGATATATTTTGAAGGTAGAGCCAATAGGGTTTCCTATGGATTGCATACGGAATGAGAGAGAGAGGAGAGTTGAGAATGACTCAAAAGATTTGGCCTGAGCCACAGGAAAGATGGAATTGTCATATCTGAAATGGGGAAGACTATGGGAGGAGTTGGTGGTGAGGGAATTAGGTTTCAGACATGTTAAGTTTGAGAAGTCTATTGGACATCGAAGTGGAGAGGTTAACTGGGCAGTTGGATATAAGTCTAGAGTTTAGGGGAGTAAGTTCATGCTTGAGGTATAAATGTAGGAGTCATTTGCATGCAGTTGGCCCTTCCAAAAGCCTGTCCTTGAACAAACTGGAAACATGGTCAATGATTATGCCATGGAGATTGCTTTCTGGCAAAGCCTAATCCTTCCACCTTCCCTTCTGCCTCCTAAGGAGAGAAGATGGGGCTCTCGATCTTTGCCCTGCTGACCCTTACCGTGTTCCTGCTGCTGCTGGCAGACAAAGTACCTGAGACCTCCCTGTCTGTCCCCATCATTATCAAGTACCTCATGTTTACCATGGTCCTCGTCACCTTCTCAGTCATCCTTAGTGTCGTGGTCCTCAACCTGCACCATCGCTCACCCCACACCCACCAAATGCCCCCTTGGGTCCATCAGGTAAGAAGATCTCCTCCTCCAACCTGTGTTAAATTTCAGTCCTAGTATTTGGCTTTATGTTCAGGTATGACTTCTCCCTCCCACCAGCTTCAACCTTCCCTTTCACAGACCTGAGGGAGGACTACAACTCCTGGTAGAGTGTTGAAGTGCAAAGGCCTGCTGGGTATTGAAACCTTGCACAATTAATTTTACCCTCCCATCATTATCATTTCATAGATCTCACACTCTCTTCATCAATACGGCCCATCCTGGGTCCCAGGGAAACATTCTCAGGATTAGGTATTATCAGGGTGGAAGTCCTCTGACTTTTCTTTCCAGTCAAGATGCTTCCCAACCCACTTAGCTCTTAAGGCTGTGCGGTTGCATTTTCTCGTCTCTGTAGCGCTGTGGAATGTGTATGCACGCAAGTGCAGGAATGGGCATGTGGCGTGGGGGTGGTTAGCTGCTTCCCTTCTGGTCTGAAGTCATGAGAGCCCCCTCCAATACGACAATTCTTCTCTTCTGAAGATCTTCATCCAAAAACTCCCTCTGTACCTGGGATTGAAAAGGCCCAAACCTGAGAGAGACCAGATGCGGAAGCTGCCACCTGTAGCCCCCAGGGATTCTCCAGGAAGTGGCTGGGGTCGGGGAACAGACGAATATTTCATCCGGAAGCCACCGAGTGACTTTCTCTTCCCCAAACCCAACAGGTAGTACCTACTCTTCATCACCCACATAGAAGGGAGAGCGAGAACCTCAGTTTCCAGAAGACTGTGCGGAGGCAGGCGGCCTAAGCTCCGGAAAGATGCTGTGGTCGAGCATCATGGGAGTTGTAGTATCCCTTCTGTTGCCCACTTTAGCGTAAAGGAGAGCACTAAAGCTTAGAGGGCTGGGAGGAATTGCGGTAGGCTCGAGTGGTCGCCTCACTGGCGGGGAGAGCCTGAAGGGCCCTCTCAGGTTTGAAAACTGGCAGCGTGTTGGAGGAGGGAGTTAGGGCGGGGCCAAGAGCGCTGGCGCTGGGTATGAGTCTTTGCGCCCGGGGCGTGGCCAAACAGTACCGCCTCTTTCAGGTTCCAGCCTGATCTGCCCGCCCCAGACCTGCGGCGATTTACTGATGGTCCAAGCCGGGCTGTGGGCCTGCCCCCTGAGCTACGGGAGGTCGTTTCCTCCATCAGCTACATCGCTCGACAGCTGCAGGAACAGGAGGACCACGACGCGGTAAGCTCACTTGGGGTGGAGCAGGGCGAGGCCTCGATTCCACCCGCGAACTCAAGCTCCGCCCCTAGCACTCGGTTTTATTTCTGACTGGAAGTTTGCCTCACTTGGTCCCGCCCCCTGCTTTCCGATTGGTTCCTTACTCCCATCCATCCTCTGCCGCTCTGCGCTCCTCTGTTCCGCAGCCTGCCCTCATCTCGGAGATGTGGTAGCAGGACGAGGGCGGGGTGTGGGTCTTTGGGGGTGGCCTTTCTGGGAGTCTGGGGCTCAGGAACAGTTTATTCTGCTGCCCCCAGCTGAAGGAAGACTGGCAGTTTGTGGCTATGGTAGTGGACCGTCTCTTCCTCTGGACCTTCATCATCTTCACCAGCGTCGGGACCCTCGTCATCTTCCTGGACGCCACGTACCACTTGCCGCCTCCTGACCCATTTCCTTGAGAACGGAGGGTCAAGACTCAGGTCCTGGGCAAACTGAATCCAGAGTTCGGTAGTAGTCTCAAACCTTATCCCTTTTTGCTTCTTCACTCCTTCACTAGGAATCTAATCCTCTCATCATTTCGTTTCTGGGGAGAGAGCCGAAGTGGGACTGGGCAGGAGGACGCCTGGGGCCCACCAGAACGCACTATCAGGTTATTTACTCTTTGGCTTCTTGAAGAAGCTCCTTTGGACATCAACACCTAGGCTCGCAGTAAAATGGAACAAAGAACAAGAACTAGACTGTAAGCCTTATGAGGGCAGGAACTATATCTTGTTCACTGTAATGTCTCCAGCACCTAGCACAGGTCCTGACCTATAATAGATGCTTAACATTTGTCGAATGAATAGAGAAAATTTTTTTCTGGAAGGAAATACACCAATTAGTAGTGCTTATGTTTGCATGTTGGGACTAGTGGTCATTTTTCCTTTATTTTTACCTTTCTTTAACTTATGTTTTGTAATAAGTAGTATCTTTAGGATTAAAAAAAGGTTATTTATAAAAGGATGCATTTGTAATGAGAAAAAAAAAGTGCACTTTAAAAACATTCAAGTTCCAGCTTTGGTGGCTCAAACGTCAGACAAGCTACTAAACTGCTCTGTGCCTAAGTTTTCATATCTGAAAAATGAAGTTAATAATAGTATCTTCCCCCTAGTCTGAGGATCATGAGAAGAGGGGAATAAAAGCACTATACAGTATATATCAGAGGTTGCAAACTGGCGTGTTGTTTGGCTCATGTTGTTGGCTTGCACAATTTTAAAGTTGAATTAGTTCGCTACTTTTAAAATTTTGGTATTTCACAGAGAAATTGGGATTTCTAGCTTCTCTTGAAAAATTTTAAAAACCACAGTAAAACCAGGCCTGATTCCCCTGTTGGCAGCAACCTGCTAGAGCTGACTAGTGGCTGCCTACTTTGGTCCAGGTATTTGTACCAGAATTCCTCAAAGCCCCCACCCACCTGAGCAGCTTCCCTCATTTTACTTGCCCATCCCTCCATAATACTACACGAAATACAGGGGAGGGGGAACAAGGAGTTGAAGCCAATGGGAGGCTAGGAGTCAAAAAAGAAAAGTTGTTGTGTCTCTTAAGGCTATCACACATTTTGTGTCTGTTTCCTTTCAATTTGGAGAAAAGATTGCACCTGGTTTAAGGCCGGGCTTTTCTGGGACATGAAGATCTTGTGCCCAGCAGGCTGTGCAAACTGGACTGAGTTAATGTTTCTGCCTGGGGGTCAGACCAAAGTCAGCTTGAACCTAGTGGCTGCAGCAATTTCAGTGAAGTACCTAGGGTCAACAAGCCCTCACACCTACTCAATTGCTGGAAGTTGTTGTCCTAAGAGGGAGAATAGGGCTGCAACTCCCAGGGATCCCTATGGGACAAGGTTAGCATGTCTCTGTCCAGCCAGACCCAACAGCCACGCAAATAATTGCACCTGGCATCCCACTGCGGAGCACAGTTTGTTTGTCTTGTTGGTTTATTGGCCTAGAGAGTTGGACACACACACAAATGCGGAGATAAATATTGGTCAGTTTCTCTAAATCTGGGTCCTCACTACGTATAGAGCTAGAGTCTGTAGAATTCTAAATCTTGCGTGCTGTAGCACAGAACCAGTGGCCTTCCCACTCCATCACCCTTCTTCCCAGGGAACATGGGGAAAGAGGGCACAAACTGACAAGACTTGATAATTTTCAAAAGACAAAATTGCAAAATCCCAAATTTCCAACATCTGAAATGCACAATATTCAAGTCCCCCAGCTCAGATACATATATTTTTAATCTCCATTTCGCCACAATCTCACTTGTTGCCCAGAACCACCAAATTCTGGAAACTATTTTCCTAAATCATATATTCAGAAAAATAAATGTCTACAATCTCAGTTCTCCCAAAATGTCCATGGTTTTGGAATTTTGACCTGTTCTGAAATTCAGATTCCCCAGTCCATCCTCAACCCCTTCCATCTCCTGTGCCTTTTTGCCTCAGAGGAGTACAGGTTAAGGATATGGGGGGACTGTCATCGCATCTGCCCCCTGCCTCCAAGGCCTTCCTCAGTCTCTCTGTGGTTCCGCTGTGTGTGTGTGTGTGTGTGTGTATATATATATATAATTTGTGTGTAGATATATATATATGTATTCTTTATTATGTACTTTTTTCGCAGTTTTTCTAAAGTGCCAGAAACAAGATCTGTGGGAATTTTTTAGTGATATTTTTTGCATTTTTCCCTGTTTTAAACTTTTTTCCCCCCTTAAAAATTCGAACTTGGTACATTCAGTAGGAAACTCTTCACTCGGACTGTGGCCAAGACCAAGAAAAGTGCAAAGAGACAGAGGAGGAGTGAAGGAGCGACACTCCTCCATGGTTAACATTCAGGGAGCCTGTCGAAAACCTTCCCCGTCCTGTATGCTGGGAGGGTAAGGGGTAGCAGGAAGATGCTCCTGTCCCTCCCCCAAACTCACCTCCCTCCAAAAGCCATGATCTTGCCCTTTCAGCATCTGTTGAGAGGGCAGCCATCTTGGCCCCAGAAAACAGTAGCTGGGAAAAAGGCTGCCATTTTGATGACAGCAACTTTTCCCCTTTTAAAACTGCACTCCTCTAGTTCCCATTTGTCAAATTTGCTCCCCCAAACTTGCTCTCCCCTGTGAGCTGTTTTGTTTTGTTTTTTTGTGTGGGTTTTTTTGAGGCAGGGGTGGGTGGGATGGGAAACGTTCATCCAATCACAGAGAGGGGAGGCCCAGTTATCAAAGAGAATTAGGAGCAAACATTTCTTCAACTCCCCCACTGGAAGGAAACATAGGGACCCCTGACCAGGGTTAACTAGTGCAAATTAGGGATTAGGGACTACTTAAGGTCCCTGCACCCCATCCCTAGGCTGGGATCTTTGGGTGTGGGGAACTGAGTCAAAAATGGGGTGTAAGGTGCTATTTTGGAGGGAAAGTTGGTGGGGATACCCCAAAGCCCACCAAGGGAGTAGGATGGTTTCCCAAAAACCATCTGGAGTGATTGGTGAGGAGAGCGACACTGGGGAAGATGGGGGTAAGGGTAAGGATGGGAGGTCATGTGCAAATCCTGGGCTTACCCACCCATCCAACTCCCATCATTTTTCTGGCTATTTGGTCTAGTCTGGGAGAAACCATCAGGAAAAAACAGGGAGAAAGTAGATTCCCTTCCCCATCCCATATGGAGCTCCTCCCTCCTGGCCCCCAAATCTGGTTTATCCCAGAAGAGGCCATATGCAGAGGCAGGAAGAGGTGTGCTCTACTCACCTCTTTTGCCTTGGAAGAATCTGGGGCTCACTAGATTTGGGGGTCAAGATAGGGCTAAGATTGATGCTGCCCTGGGCTGGGAAAGTACTCAGCCATGGAACAGACAGGTAGGTTCACCCTCCCCCCAACACCTCCTTGACCTGGATTGGGAGAGGCCATCTCCAGAGTCTAGGAGTATGAGGAAGAATATGGAAGATCCAAAGGCATGGAAGCCAAGGAAGGCATGGCATCTTAACGTGAAGGAAACGGACATAGAAACCCACGCTTGGGAAGAATGGAATCCAAAGCCATGTTCCCAGGTGGGGGGTGTCAGGTATCACAATGGTCTGGTCCAGGCCCTGGGCCATGAAGAATGGAATGTGCTAGGAAGCATCTGGGGAAGGGCTTAGAGAAAGCTTCAGAATGAGAGGGGATCATTATGGGAGAGAGATGGTTTCCCCCTAGGTTTACGAATTAGGGGGTCGGGTTAGACATTCAGAGCTGGTGGGGGCCATGAGTAGAGATTCTTATAAGTATATTGCTCAGTTGCCCCAAGGGCTGGAGAAGGGATGGGAGCTGGCCCTGCCCCTCATGGAGGCCATTCCCTGGAGGAGAACTGAGAGGGGAACCACCAAAGATCCCTTCCCAGGAGATGGGAAAACTACAATCTCACACAAAGCAGCCTGACCCCTGAGCTCCAGGGGCCCCCAAGTCCCTGCACAAGAGTGTAGAGGGACTCCCAAGGGGCAGGGAGGCCAGGGAGCTGGTAGTGGCGGGGGGTTCAGGGAGGGTGGCATCTGGTGAAAGGGGGGATCTGGGCCAAGAGCTCACCCCACATCTCCCTTCTGGGTTCTCTCGACCCCTGCCCTTTCCCCTTCTCCCTTAGGGGGCACTGGTGGAGGAAGAGTTGGGGGGGGTGGCGTTGGGGGGGTAGGGGGTGCTGCTTGAGGATTGACTGTGTAGCCAAAGACCCCTGGGAGGAAGGGAAGGGCCCCCCCTCCCTTCTCATCAGGTAGGACCATGTTAAGAGCAACCGGGAGAGCAGCCAAGTTGCTGAAGTTGTAAGGGTAGGCGGCAAGGAGCTGGGGGCCATAGACTAGTGGGTAGGGCTCAGGGTAGAAGGTGACTTTGGCAGCCCCCATTGCCTCCATGCGGTCCCCCTCCCCAGCCCCCACTGGCCCCTCACTCCCAGGTTTTCCCCTGCCACCGCCAGGTTCCCGGCCACCCCCAATTAGAGCCAGTGGAAATTCCTGCACAGGTGGGTAGGCATAGGTGCCCCCTCCTCCCACCACTGGGGGCTCCTCACCCCCCGAGATGACAGGGTCCTGGAGTGAGGCGGTCTTGGAAGCTTCCTCAGCAGCAGCACTCCCGCCACCTGCCTCCCCACTGGATGAGGAGACTTGCATCTCTTGGGGGGCTTCTTCCTTGACATCCCCAGGTCTGGTGCCGGTGCTGCCCTTGGAGTAGGCAATGACAGGTGTGGGGGTGCCCCCGGGCCGCTCGGCAGCATGCCTCTGCCCGTGGCGGCTCAGGGCGGCTGCCGTCTTGCACACCTTGGCGCAGTGAGGGCAGGCAAAGCGGGTGGAAGGCCTACGTCCAGCCCGGGAGCCATGGGAACCTCCACTGTGGGCCTCCTGGTGCTTTCGCAGCTTCCTCAGGGTGGCAAATGTCTGGGCACAGTCCCCACAGCGGTGCCTCCGCTCGCCACGGGCACGCCCTGTGGGGCCTTCAGCCGCGGGGGTCTCCTCCCAGCTCCTGCGTTCCAGCTTCTGTCTCCAGCGTGGTGGCCGGCGGCCTCTGGGCATCCCGCTGCCCCCACTGCTGCCTGCACCTGTAGCTCCAGCCTTGCGCTTGGGCTTGTATGAGTAGTAGGGCCTCCAGAGCTGGTCCTCCCCACCAGCCTTTGATTCCTCCTCCTCCTCCTCGTCCTCATCATCGTCGTCCTCTTCATCATCCTCCTCACTCTCCTCCATGTCCTCTCCGCTCAGCTCCCCAGGACGCAGGTCAGTTTCTGAGATGCGGCGCTTGACAATGGCCTCCTCACCGATTCGCACAGTGATCTGACACAGTGGAGGTGGAGCCTGTAGCTGAGAGGGGCCTCGGCCAGGCCCTGCAGGGGGACCCCCGCCCCCACCAATCCCTCCAGCTGGCTTGGCTGTGTAGGTCAGAGTCCTTCCGGCCCGTGGGTTCCGGCCCTTGGCCTCCTCCGTGGCTGTGGCGGGCCCTGCGGCTGTTGCTGGGCTGCCCGCTGTGGCTACGCTGGCTGGTGTGGCTGCAGGCTCGGGAGGAGGAGGGGGGTACTCACGTTTTTTGGGAGGCCTCGGGGGAGCAGTGTAAGTGATGACCGAGGCGGCTTGGGCCCCCCCTGTGCTGGCTGGCCCACCCCCTGTTCCACCACTGCTACTGCCCCCATGAACAATGACAGATGGAGCTGGGTGGGCAAAAGTGATGACAGAGGGTGGCGGGCCAGGCTCTGGGGCAGGCGGGGGTCCAGGTGGTGGGCTGGCTGGCATTGCTGCAGGGGCCGGTGTGTTGAGGCTTGGAGAAAGGGGGGCCTCGGGGGCTCCCTGGCTGTAGGTCTTGTAGGGCCTCTTGGCTGCCCGCATGGGGAGCAGGCGGTACAGCTTGAGGGTGTTGAGCTTGGGCTTATAACCTCCATTGGGTGTCTTCTCACTGGCCAGGAGGCCAGGGCTAATGCCGTGGAAGGCTCGCTGGTGGGTCTTCAGGTTATAATAAGTGACAAAGGTCTCCCAGCAGAAGATGCACTGGTACCTGGGCCAGGACAGCAGGGAACAGGGCAGGGACAGAGCCATTTGAGTCAGGGGCCCTGAAGTCTGGGCCTCAGCTTCCCATGTCCTCTACTGCCCTCCACTCAGACTTCTAACTGCCCCAGCCATTTGCTCACTCTCCTTTTATGCTGCTGTCTCACTCGGCCAGCCTCAGGAGGGACCCTAATCCTAGCTCAGCTGTGAGATACTAGGCCTCAGCCATTCCATCTGTGAACCAGGAAGAATCACACACCTTGCCTAACTCACAAACTTTTTTTTTTGAAGCTCAAATGACAGGATGGGGAAATGTCTTATGAACAGGGACACATTCTGGAATACATATTAAAACTATTGGTGGACATGCTTGCACTCTCCATAGTCCTTTCCTAGGAGGGCAACTTTCTCTTTCCTCCTCGGCCTTCTCCACACCACCAAGCCAGGACATGGCACCTAGAGGTGCTAATAAACATCAACAGAAAGAAGTCGGGCTGGAGGGAGGATGACAGGTGAGTGATGGAGTAGGCCAGTCTCAGGATGATTGTCTAGGTCCCACCCTCTGCCCATTCCCTCCCTTGTCCATGTGGTCCCTGAGTGCTGACCCTTGACCCCTCCCCCTCCACCCACCCCATCCAGGCCCTCAAGGCCACTCACCTGCGTTCCCCGGTGTGCCACACCTCATGCTTGGTGCGGTACTCAGCCAGGGCGAACACCTTCTCACAATAGCGGCAGGGGTACTTCCTCCGCCACGAGTGTACATTACTGTGCCGCTTCAGGCTGGACAGGGTCACGTAGGAACGCTCGCAGGCCGCGCACACATACAGCACGTGGCCACCCACCACCTTCACCACGTGCTCCGGGCCACCGCGGAAGCCCACTGGTGGGGGCAGGGCTGAGGCGTCCACTCCTGCAGGACCACTGGGGCCTGAGCCCCCGGCTGTCAGCCCTGCAGACCCCTGAGTGCTGGCCCCCCGTCTGCACTGTGCCTCATGGGTCTGTAGCCGCTTGGGATGGATGAAGCTTTTCCCACATCGGGGGCAGGGGAGGGGCTGCCGGGGCAGGGTGGGCTGCGAGTCAGAAGCCTGGGCCTCAGCCCTGTCACTCTCCCATTCCCCAGCTGGCCTAGGCCCAGGCCCGAAGCTGTCCTCTTCAGGCTGCGAGGTGGCCATGGGGGCTGGGGCAGGAGGTACCCAGGCATCACCTCCCTCCCCGAGGCCCTGCAGGCGGGAGATGCCCAGACGCCGCCCCAGAGCTCCGATCTCTGCCACAGCTGCCCCGTCCCCTCCACCGCCAGGTAGTGCAAGCCGGGCACTGTAGATGAAATTGAGGACATCAGAGAAGGCAGCTGCTGGGACCCCTGGCAGCTCCAGGACCCGGGGAGGGGATGATGCAGGGGGTGAGGCTGGAGGGGGAGAGGAGGAGGAAGAGGAGGAGGAGGAGGAGGAAGAGGAAGAGGAGGAGGAGGAAGAAGAGGAAGAGGAGGAGGAGGAAGAGGAGGAGGAGGAGGAGGCAGCTGTGGTGGTGGCAGGGTTGGGGGCCGAGCCCCCAGTAACTGGTGGGAGGGGCAGTGGGGCTGAAGCCAGCAGGGCCTCTCTGAAGAAGGGACTAGAAGCAGCCAGGACGCTGCGGTGAGCAGGGAACTTGGTGTCTCCGGCTATGAGGGTGACGTCACAGAAGAGGCCACGGAGCCGCTGCTCATTGAGCTGGCGCAGGACGGCGGGGGCATGGGACGGATCCGTCACCTCTGCAGGGGGGGGCATGGCGCCAGCCTAGATGGAGGAGAAGAGGCCAGGGGAGGGTCTCAGAGGCCAGGCAGAGGGCAGGGGCCTCTAAAACCAGGGAGATGAGCTGCGAGGGGGTTGGAGGTTGTTGGTCAGAGACTAGAGGAAGGCTTACTTCTGGTCACAGAAGTCAGGGGTTAACTTTAGTCACCTACGTCTGGCCAGTGGGGCTGGAAGAGGCCAGGGATACCTCAGGTCATGATGAAGGTCAAGGGGTCAAAACCTCCAAAGTCACAGACTAGAGAGGTAAGCAATGGACACTTCTGTCTCATTGGAAGGAGGAAAGAGCCCCCACAACTACTGATGACCATTTCACAGGACTTCCCAGCTTAGACAAAATGGCTGCCCTTGCTGGCCTGCGGCCTTAGATCCAGTTTCTCCTAGATGCAGACCTCTTGCACCGTCTCACCTGAGAGCACAGCCAACATGGAGTGGAGTGGGGGTGGCTCAGCGAGTCCCTTCTGCAGGGCCTCTTCCTTCTGTGGAGAAACAGAAACCATGTCCTCAGGAAGGGAACTGGGAAGGAAAGGACCCCAGGAGGTGGGGGGTGGTACAGCACTTGGGGTCAGAGAGGATGCCTGGGCTGCTCTGCAGACCCTGACCCTCCGTCAGGCTATTTGTTTAGCTGCATCCAATGAGACCTAGGAGGTCACACAGATTATTGCAAAGCCTTGTTCTGCTGGCCCCAAGAAGTACAGGAACAAGATAATTTGCATATTCCCAATGTACCTCAAAATGATACAGCAACATAGTTCAATCCCATAGGTCCAGGGAAGCCTGTTGGATCACTCTCAAGTCCCTTTGGCCCAATCTTTGGGCTCAAAGGAAATCAGAGATTTGCATGTTTTCTTTTATTATAATAGTCTCATTTACATATCAAAATAGATTTGCTAGAGCTTTTTTATTGGATCAAGCTGCTAGATATTCAGAGTAGGAGAGGACCTCTTCTCACACACACCAGACTCACAAATCTCAGAGGGGGTTTCTGATCCAGGTGTCATGCGACTACCAAAGACCATGGATTCATACATACGTGCCAGCTTGCTCCAGTCTCTGGAGGGCACTGGAAAGGCCACCAGACTCAGAGTGAGGAGGCTCATGTCCCACTCCTTACTCTGAGAGCTTGCAGCCTTGGGACTTTGGCTTAAAAAGGGGGGAGGTGGGCCGGCCCAGTGGTGCAGTGGTTAAGTTCACCCGTTCCACTTCGGTGGCCCAGGGTTCGCCCGTTCAGATTCTGGGTGCAGACATGGCACCGCTTGGCAAGCCATGCTGTGGTAGGCATCCCACATATAAAGTTAGAGGAAGATGGGCACAGATGTTAGCTCAGGGCCAGTCTTCCTCAGCAAAAAGAGGAGGATTGGCAATAGATGTTAGCTCAGGGCTAATCTTCCTTAAAAAAAAAAAGTGGGGGGAGGGAACATAACCCCTACCTCACCTCTTTCTGGGAGGCTCACCCAAAGGAATACCAGATGACCCAAACATGAGCTGTGGCAGTCACCGCACAGAAAGCACCTCACAGCTGTTTCTCTTGTGTGGGCACAGACAGCGCTTTGGGGTCCCATTTTTCAGTTGAAGATTTGAGTTTCAGAGTCAGAGAGTGACTTGGCCAAAGTCACATAGAGCTGGTAATAACAGGTGGGGCCTGTTCACAGAGCCAGGCCTGCTGATCTGAGAGCAGAGGTCTCAGCCCATCGTCCACCCTCCACGAAGCGTGGGAGCTCTCTCCTTCTGAATGCCCTGGGTCACACATGTCCTCTGAGGAGTCCTGCATCAGGAGTACCTCATACAATTCCCACGCCCCCCAAAATGCTCTTTTCCCATGTATTACGCATACTATCTGGACTGAAAGACCTTCCTTCCACAGCCCGATTCATGTTCCCAAAAGACTGCTCTGACTCCTCTCCTGGAGGAGGAGGAAGGTGGTAAAGAGGAGTGATATCCCAAAGTTCTGAGAGCCCCAACTGCCAGGCACATGCCAGCACTGTGTCAAGTGTTACCTTGTCAGTTGCTGGATTGCAGATGGGTCAGGAATCCTGGGGAAGCCCCCCTCGCCCCTACTGCTCCACTTGTGGGCTGGTGTTCAGTTCTGGTCATAAACTGAGGAAAAACAGCAAGGACTCCCACTCCCTTCCGTGATAGCCCCTGGCCCACTGGGACCCCCAAGAATCAGTGCTTTTCTTGCACCACCTCATCTGCTCCTCAGCACTTCTCCATTTTAAATTGACAGACTGAGGCTGAGAGATGCCGGGTAGCTCGCCCAAGGATATACAACCAGTTAGTAGCAGGGCTGGATCCTGATCCCAGGAAGTTTGGCTCCAAAGGCTGTGTTCTTGACTGTACCACATCAGGAAGAATGACGTTTACAGCTGTGATATTGTGATATAATAAGAAGTATATATATTTGCTCTTCATCCCTGTTCCTGACACGCAGCTCCTAAAACTCTTGTAATTTCCCAAGTGATGGGGTGCTAGCAGCATCTTCTGTTCTAACATTTGGTCTTTGACCCTGGTTCCTAACACCAAGCTCCTAAATCCCTTGGTGTTTCCTGGGTGACAGGAGCATCTTTGGTTCTAATGAGGTGACTCTTGGTGGGCTCCTGGATGGCTTCAGAATAGGGGCTGGTCACTAGAAAGACCAAGCCATGATTAGAAGCTTGGAACTTTCAGCCCCGGCCCCCAACCTCTGGGGAGGAGAGAGGGCCCGGAGACTGAGTTAATAATTGATCACGCCTACGTGATGAAGCCTCCATAAAAATCCCTAAACCATGGGGTTCAGAGAGCTTTCGAGTTGGTAAACACATCCACATGTCGTGAGGGTGGTGCGCCCCAACTTCATGAAAACAGAAGCTCCTATACTCAGGACCCTTCTAGACCTCACCCTATGTACCTCTTCATCTGGCTATTCATCTGTGTTATCACATCCTTTTATACAAGAAACCAGTAAACGTAAGTGTTTCCCTCAGTTCTATGAGCCATACTAGCAATTATCGAATCTGAGGAGGGGGCCATGGGAAATTTCAATTTATAGCTGGTCAGTCAGAAGGACAGGAGGCCCAGACCTGCAACTGGCATCTGAAGTTGGGGCAGTCTTGTGGGACTGAGTCCTTAACTTGTAGGATCTGATGCTGTCTCTGAGTAGAGTGTCAGAATTCAGTGGAATTGTGGGACACCCAGCTGGTGTCAGAGAATTGGTCAGTGTGGGAAAACCCCACACATTTGGTATCAGAAGTGTTGTGAGTAGAATGTATAGAAAAACTGTTGTGTTTTTCTCTCAACAGCACTCACTAGGGCCCCCACTAGCCCATCTAGCATCTTTCTGAAAATTAGAGGAAGCGAGAAAAAATTAGATGGGCTCCTTCCTCCAGGAGGCAGCGGCCCTGCACAGGTGAGCAAAGCAGAGGTTTGAGTCCAGCCCCCGTTACCCTCTTGGCCGGGCCTGCCTACCTGCACAACCTGTGCAGCGGGCTCGGTGCCTACTGAGGCGTGGCTGTGTGCTCCCAAGGTGCGTGGAGCAGGCCTGTCAGGGCTTCTTCGAACCACAGAGGTCAAAGCTGGTCTGGCCCTTAGAGATCACCTAGAATCAACATCATCATGGTACTTATAGCTGCCATTTATGAAATGCTTATTACATGCCACAGTGCAAGCATTTTATCTGCATCCTCTCATTTCAACACTCAAAAGGCCCACAGGGAGGCAGGGACTATCATCACCCCATTGCAGAGGTGAGGAAACTGAGGCTTTAAATGCTCTAAACTCCTCACTTTCAGGTAGAATGTAGTGGTAGGGTGATGTACCCCTGGTTTCACGACTAAGCAAGTCAGGGTTTGGACCTAGCTCTCCTGAGTTCATCTGCCCCATCACTAGCCACTGTCCTGCAAGGGCTTATGGGAGATGGAGAAGACACTAGCTATATGACCCTGGGCAAGCTGCTTAACCTCTCTGGATCTCAGTTTCCTTGTCAACAAGGTGGGATAATGAACAGCTCTCATCGTAGGGTTGTCGGCAGTATCTAGAAGAGTGTGTGGCACACGGTAAATGCTCAGTAAGTGCTAGCTCTCCTTATCATTTTGGAACTCAGACCCGGAAAATGGTGGGGGGAAGTGGTGAAGAAAAAGAGGCAGAAATCAGGCTTCACGGTAGGTTTGGTGGCTCTGTGGTTTTTAGTTTTTTATTTGTTTTTACCATTTCTCTACTCTTGACTGGCTGTGTGATCTTAGAAGTGTGACTGAGGGGGGCATCTGAGCACTGCCACCAGACACACTCTACTTCTTGCTGTTCCTTTTGCCTGGAATGTTCTTTCCTCAGATAGCCTCCTGCCTTGCTGCCCCGCCTCCTTGAAGCCTTGAATCAAAAGTCACATTCTCCTGGAGGCCTACCCTGGTCACACCCTACCTCCCCAAACTTCCTATCCCTCTCCCCGACTTTTTCTTCTTGGCACTTAGTAAACACGTTGTTCATTTATCTCTAGAATGTACCCTCCAAGGGAAGGGAGATTTTTGTCTGGTTTGTTTACTGCAACTTCCAGTGCTTAGAACAGCGCCTGAGACATAATGGGGGATTAAAAAAAATTTAGTGAATGAATGGAACTGCCTTCTTCAAAGTCTGCTGGAGTCTGTCCCCCCTCAGGAAGGAAGTCATCCTCAGGGCCAGACGGAGGTGGCCAGGAGCCGGGGATAATAAGCATAACCTGACCACTTCTGAGGCTTCATGCTTTGCCTGATATACTTCCAGGGCTTGACATGTGTTGCCTCATTTAAGGATGTCCTCAAAGTGGCCATCCAAAGTCGCTGTTTATTTTATCCCAGTTTTACAGATGAGGAAACTGAGGCTCACAGAGGGATATACCTTGCTCAAGGTCACACAGCTTGTGAGCAGTAGAGTCAAAATTCAAATCCAGGCCTGCGTGAACTCAGACGCCGAGTCTTTTCCTCTCCATACTGCCAGATCGTCCCCTGAAGGGGCCTACGGCTGGCCAGGTTACAGAAATCACCACACAAGGTCTCTGCACTAGGTGCAAACTGTGTCATGTCCGACTCTGCCCTTTCCCTCGCTCCCCACATCCAGAGGTCACCAAGTCTGGTCGAATCTGCAGCCCAGTTTGGGAATAGCTCTGGAAGCCTTCCCTTCAACCCATCTCTGGCCCCACACTAGCTCAGGGCCTTGGTAACACTCACATGGTCCAAGGCCATGGCCTCAGCCATTCCCCTGCCTCCAGGCTTACCTTCCACCGTCCAGCCTTCCTCTCCCTGAGGGCCAGCTTCCCCAACGCAGCTCAGGTGGTATCACTTCTGGGCCCAGAAACCTTCGCGGGTCCCCATTCACTCCAGAATAAAGCTCAAATTCCTCAGCCAGCCAGTCAAGGGTCTAGCTCCAATCTTCCTTTCTAGTCTTGCTTGTGTCAGCCCCCCTCAAGCACGCAGTGTGCTCTCCAACCTCAGTATGTCTCACACTCCCATGCTTTTGCCCACGCTGGTTCTCCTACCAGAAATGCAACCTTTCCCCAGCCTCTTCCCCAAATCCCTCCGAAATGAGAAAATCAAATTCAAACGACACCTCCCTCATGGCCCTCCCTGACCCACAGGACAAAGACAAGCTCTCCTTCACCTGGCTCATCAACATTTTGTGCCCCAGTGGCCAGCTCTCAGCAGCAGACATTAGGTTCTCACTCCCCAGGCTGGCCCTCCCTGAGTCACCGTCTGAGCACACCACTGAAATGAAGTGGCGCAGGTGCTAAGTTCTGCAGAGACTGCGGAGAAGTGTGTGTGTGTGCATCTGTGTGTAGTGGAGGTGCACAGAAAGGCCCAGAGAAAGTTTCAGGAGGGTAGCAGAGGACAGCATACAAGAGCACAGGATTTGGAACCTGACTGCCTGGGTTCAAATCCAGCTTCACCTCTTCCCAGCTAAGTGGCTTTGGGCAAATTACTTGTCTGGGCCTCAGCTATCTCATCTGAAAAAAAGAAGTAATTAGAACACCTATTTCCACAGAGCATTGCAAAGACGAAATAAGTGATCGTATGTAAAAGCACTGAGAATAGTGCCTGGTACACAGTAAGTGCTAAATAACTGTTTACAGCTATTATTATTAGCCAAGGCCCGAGAAGAGGCTCCATGCTGGCAGAGGGCTAACAGTGGCTGGCACAGGCATAGCCCCCACTTGTAGCTACTTTCCAGGTACATTTCCCACGTGGTACGTACTTACCACTCTGTAGGAAGACAGGCAAGGCAGGTAACTAGCCCCATTTTACAGATGAGGAACTGAGGCTCACTCAGGGTAAGTGCCAGTGAGGAAGTGGTAGGGCCAGAACTCCTCAGTTCTAGTCTAGGCCTCCTTCCCCTCCACCAGGCTGTCGTGCACCTGTTGTGCAGGCCTCACACAGCAGCCAGCACCCCCCACGCAGGAGGGCCCTGCCATAGTGCCCTCTGCAGCCCCCATGCATATCCACCTTTCCAGCCTGGCCAGGCGCAGTCCACAGTGGTGTGCACACTTGGAGCACACCACTCACCCTTACACACACACACACATCTACAGAACAGCCCAGGCCCCAAAGGTGAGGAAAACCTGTTCTGAGGAATCTGCCTAGTGAGCGAATTCCGTTCCCAGACCCTTCCACAGTCGCAGGAGCGGCCCAGTGTGCGTCACAGAAGAGACGGAAAAGCAGAGATACCCGTAAGGGGGGCAGAGAGAGGGTGAAGCAGGAGGAGGAGACTGAAAACTTCGTGTTTCTTTTTTCCATTTCAGTGACAAGAGTCACACCCGGCCTTTACGTAAACATGGCCAAGGAGCCACTCTGTCCAAGCTCAGTTTCCTTGCAGCCACCAGGCCTCTCCTCCCGGTGACCCTGACATGCTGGGCGGGCCGGTGAGGGGCAAGCACACAGACCCTGCACAAAGACTAGCTGGGCCACCACGACAACACCCAGGCCTCCCGCCGGCTGCCCTTGCTCTGCCCCATATTTATCTCCCTGCCTTCTTCATAACATATCCCCACAGCAGCCCCACACGGCCACTTAAACACACAGAAGGCAGGCACGCACACAGCTTGTGCTGATCTCCAGTCTGAGGCCCACATTGCCCTTGTCACGCCACCTCCCTCCCCACAAGTGTTTTCTGACCAGCTCGCCTCCCAGCCCAACAGCACAGACAGGCTCCCGCAAACAACGTCACAAAAGAATCCTGTAGAGAATGTTGCAAACACACAACCTTTCCCTTGCTCGGCTGCCCATGATCCCATAAACACAACCTGCACATTCCACCCAAAGCCCCTCACACCAGTGCCAGCTGCCCCACAAGTATCTGAGACACACCTTGGGGTTTCTCACTTCCCACATGATCCCAGAGACCTGAGTTCTAGAGGCGCACCCCCCATGTGACTTGCTCCTCACAAAGACACACAAACCCATCCAGCGGGCCATCCTCACCAGGACTGGACCACACCTCAGCAGCACCACAGAAACTGGACCCAGATGTGACATCTTCCGACTCAAAGGTACACAACCACCGCCTCCACACAAGCACACACACCCTGCACTCTGGTACCCTCCAGAGCACTTACACCAGGCCAGCTATGCAGAAAACAACAGTTCATAAACAGTTCATATGTGCAGCACAAGACATACGTGCAAGAAAACACATGCCGGTATAAAACATACATAAAACCCTACATCTAACAAACTCCACATGTATTATGCTCTGCTTGGACTGCAGACCTGTCACCCAAAGCCACAGGGCCACGTCTTGTAATTCTGCCCCACAACACTGGACACCCCTCCATCTGGCTTGCTGTCCCCATGGCCCTGGTAGGGCCCTACCCGGACCCCTGGCTGCCAGACCAGCAAACAGTGGTGCCCAGGAGAGATTTACCTTGCCCCACAACACAGCAGGAGACACACAATCTGCAGGACTCACAGCCACAACCCTGCCCCGACGGCGCGGCGGCTCCGGGGCCCCCGCTCGCCCTGCGCACCCCGCACACCCCAACTCTGGGGCGCTCCGCGGCCCACCCCTCCCCCTCTCCGCCTGGCTCCTACGCCATCGCCCTCCCAGCAGCTTGCAGCGCCGGCCCGGGCTCACACCCGCCCCACCCCACCCCCAACCTGCCCTACAAGGGGAGGGGGACACTAGGCTGCAGAATTAACCCTTCAAATGAGGAGTGAGCACGGCCCCTTCCACGGCCACAGGCCATCGCGCCCCCAGGCCACCGCTCGGTCTGATGCCGTACCGGGGCCCCCTTAGTCGCCCCCCAGCGCCGTGCGCGCCTGGGGGCGGGGCCAGGCTCAGCCCCCGACCCCTGAGCCCCCAGGTCAACCCCAAAGGGGAGCGGTCTGGCGCGGGGCGCGGCTAGGGCCCCCGCGGCGCCGGGCAGCGGGGAGGGGGCCCGGCTGTTGGCTCCGGTCCGCCCTGGCCCTGCCCGGTTCGCGCCGGGGCCCACCTGACTGCGATGGCGCCGCGTCCGCCAGGCCCGGCTCATCACCGTGGCCGCCCCCGGCCGCTCCGGCTTCGCCCGCCTCCAGCTCCGGCTCCGGCTCCGGCTCCGGCCCCGGCCCCGGCCCCCCCAGCGCCCGGCCCCGGCCCGGCCCGCCGCCGCCGCCGCCGCTGACATCATCGGCTCCCCCCGCCCCGGTCCTACCCCCACCCCCACCCCCGGAAACAGTCCCCCCCCAGCGCCGCCGCCGCCGCCGAGAGGAGGCCGGCGCAGCGCAGCCGACACCGACACCAGCCTCGGGGCTTGGGCTTGGGACAAGCGCGCCCGACGGCCTTTGCTCGGACCGATCCCAGGAAGGGAACGGCGCCGCGCAGGGCCGCCGGACGGGTGGGCACCGAGTGGGGCGCGGGCCTGGCTGCAGCACCCCTGCAGGGCCGCACGACCACCCACTCCCTAGGAAGGGACTCCCCACCCCCACCCCCGCCCCCTGCACGCCCTTCACTCAGCGGTGCACACCGCCCAGACCCAGAGCACGCACACCCTCTCCGGGCGCAGACACACAACATGGCAGGCTTACAGTCAGGCCCAGTGGGACCGGCAGATCGAGGCTCAGCACACTTACTAGGCAGCCCTGGACACACACAAACAGAAACACACACCCTCCCCAGAAGTGCACAGGGACCCCCACCGGGCCACAGGCCAGGAAGGCCCCAGCCCCGCTGACACGCACAAATAATGACTACCAGCGCAGATGAATACGCAGCTTGGTATTTTGTCCCCACGGCAGAAATATCCACGTCTATATACTTGTGGGTAAATGCACAGGCCTTGGTGTGGGCCTCCTGGGACAGCACCAACAAAACACCAGGTGGAAGCACACAGAAGAAACACATTCCTGAAACTCCAGAGGGACAGTCTCAGAGACTCCTCCCCGGTGTTCAAAAATTCGAAACTCAGGAGACAGAGTAGCCGGCCCTCAGAGCTCCATTCCATAAAACCTTTCTGAAACAAGGCGAGACACAGATAAATTAACTTAAAACCAAAGGAGTCTCATCACACAGAACTCGTGAAGAGAAAAAAGAATCAGACAAACTGTGGAGTCGAAGACATAGATATAAAGCAAGCAGAGTTGGAAACAATAAGAAAACAGGCCCACCCCCACTCAGGAAGGTTCCAGGGAAGAACCCCACCCCCACTCCAACCAGGTCACAATGGTTGGAGCTCTCATGGGTCCAGGCCCCCTGACCCAGGAGAAGAGGAGGAAGTCCAAGGAAAGATGGTGAGTGTGGAGGCCAGCGGGGCATAGACCCCCTCCCTGTAGCTTCTGGCTGTTCCCTTTCCCATCCTCCCCTAAAACTTCCCAGCTGTCCTAGAGACACCCACAAATGAAATTCATAATGGTGTACCCAGATGTCTCTGGAACCTGTGACATCATACAGACACATAGCATCTGAGGCCGCCTCCCCTTCCTCAAACCAACAGAGCATCCCTGGGTCCTCTTTTTCTCCTCCCCAGGAACAATTTACCCAGAGAAACTCAGTGCTCCAGGACCGCTCACTCTCAACTTCCTGCTTTAGAGGCTCAAGGCCCACATTGCACCACCTCATCCATCTTTCAGGCCCTTTCTAGCTCCCAAGAGTTCCTCAGCAACACAGCCTGCTCCTCTACTATCCCACAGGGTCCCAGCCCCCAGCCTGGCATTTGCCTTGCCCCAGGTCCTCTGGGCTATGGCTGCCCTAATGCCCGAGCTCCTTTCTCCCTAACAGGCTGGCAGTCACCCCTACTTCAACCTGTCCGACTTCACCCAGCCATCGCCGCCCTCCACTCCGCCCAGCCTCCCCTCGCATCAGCGCTGCCGGCCCTCCAATGCCACCAAGGGCCTGCTCATGGCCCTGCTGGGTGGGGGCCTGCCCGCTGGCTTCGTGGGCCCCTTCTCCCGTATGGCTTACCAGGCCTCCCACTTACCCTCGCTGGAGCTGCTCATCTGTCGATGCCTCTTCCACCTCCCCATTGCCTTGCTACTTAAACTGCGTGGCGACCCACTGTTGGGACCTCCCGATGTCCGGGGCCGGGCCTGCCTCCACGCCCTGCTCAACGTCCTCAGCATTGGATGCGCCTACAGTGCGGTTCAGGTGGTGCCCCCTGGCAACGCTGCCACTGTCCGCAAAGGTTCTTCCACCGTGTGCTCTGCCCTCCTCGCCCTCTGCCTTGAGAGCCAGGGTCTCAGCGGCTACGATTGGTGTGGCCTGTTGGGCAGCACCCTGGGACTAATCATCATTGTGGGACCTGGACTAGGGACGCTGCAGGAGGGGACCACGGGCCTCTACACCGCCCTGGGCTATGTGCTCGCTTTCCTGAGTGGCCTGGCACTGTCCCTGGGGCTTCTAGTGTATCGCTCCCTGAACTTCCCCTCCTGCCTACCAACAGTGGCCTTCCTGTTTGGCTTGGTGGGGCTAGCAGTCTCCGTGCCAGCCCTCTTTGTGCTGCAGACCCCCATACTGCCCAATGATCTTCTGAGTTGGACCTGTGTGGGGGCAGTGGGGATCCTTGCCCTGGTCTCCTTTGTGTGTGTGAGCTATGCGGTCACCAAGGCCCACCCTGCCCTAGTGTGTGCCGTCCTGCACTCCGAGGTGGTGGTGGCCCTGATGCTGCAGTATTATGTGCTCTATGAGAATGTGGCACCTTCTGACATCATGGGGGCAGGGGTGGTGTTGGGTAGCATTGCCATCATCACTGCCCAGAACCTCAGCTGTGAGAGGGAAGGGCAGGTGGAGGAGTGAGATGGAACTTGAGAGCCTGGGGGTTGGGGGGGCAGGGGTAAATAGAAGGAGAGACTGGAATACAAACATAGGAGAACAAGTGACTGCAAAAGAACTGGTGTGGGAGAGGGAAACCCCTTGGAGTCAAGGGTGACTTGGGGACCTTGGGGATGTGGTAGAGAGGGACTGCCTGGAAGACCTAGGGACCAAGAGATGTGGAGTCTAGGCTGGGGCTTGGAGATCAGGGCATAACTAAGGGATAAGGTCTGAGCAGCACATCAGTGGGGCTGAGGCAGGCAGGCCATGAGCCATGGGGAGGATTTTCCCCTCAGAAGCAGAGAAGAGCATTGGGGCTGGAGTGTTTGGGGCTTTCAGACAAACAGAGCAAGCAGCTGTGCTGGGGGAAGGGAGTGTGCATTTTTTCCCTGAGCGTCGGTTTCCCTTCCTCGTGGTTGTGCCCCCCTCCCCCTTGGGGTGGTGACGTGACATTGACATCAAACGAGGATCACTCTGAATGTGGCTGTGCAGTTGGTGTCATCTCTGCTTCGGAAGAAGAGTGCAAGTCCTACCCTGTTCTTATTGGAGAATCCCTTGGGATCCCCGCCCCCCATCTTATTTCTGAAATATTCTAGAAGGGGGAGGATTTCCTAATGTTCAGACGCCTTGACCTCGAATCCCCCAGGACTTCTGTGTCCCGCCCCACGGCTAATCTGCTTTTCCCGGATTGTCGCGGTCCCGTGATCGCTCCCGGACAGCGGCCAGCCTCCTTCTGGAGCAGGTCTCCGAGCTGAGGCCTCTTCGACCGGTTCAGGCCGGGGATCCAGGACCAGAGCTCCGTACAGCGCTCCATTAGAGGCCAGGAGATGCCCACCCCTACCAGGAGGCCGCTCAATAAATATCAGCTACTTCCGGACAAGCAATTGGCCTCGCCATCTTGATCTGTTCATGCATATTCAGCAGGTCACTGCATATTCATGACCAAGGACGGCCCCAGCACTCCCCTCTCCGGGAACCCACTTGGGAGGACCCGACTGGCCCCGCCTCCTTCAATACCGATTCGCAGAACAGACCATTTTCCAGGGCGTGCGGGGGGTGTGTGTGTTAATGAGAGACTTTTGCGGGAGACGAAACCACACTCCAAACTAGGATAAAAGCGGCCTGTATTTATCCTGGCTCCTTCAAACCTTAAATCTCAGTGCGAGAGGGAGCAGCGAGGGGAGGCGGCGGGATAAAAAATTCCCTTCCCCGTTGTCATTTCAAAAGGTCGCCCAACGAGGGAGCGGGGGAAGAGAGGATCAACGACTCGGGCGCGCGCCCCGTGCAGGCCGGCGTAGGCAGCCCCGTAGCGCAAGGGAGGGCGGGAAAGGAAGGGGCGGGGATGCAGGGGCGAATCTATAAAGGGCGTCATTCGGTCAGTTCTCTCCTCAGAAGCGCCGAGAGCGCGGCCGGGACGGTTGGAGAAGAAGGCGGCTCCCGGAAGGGGGAGAGACAAACTGCCGTAACCTCTGCCGTTCAGGAGCCCGGTTACTTATTTATTCGTTACCCTTTTTCTTCTTCTTCCCCTCAGGACCTTTTCCTTTCCCCCCCTCTTTTTTTTTTTCTTTTTGGGAGACGAAAAATCTCCGGAAAGGGGGAGGAGAGCTGCTTTCGCTCTTTTTCGTTTCCCCGCCTCCTTCCCTCCCCCACCTTTCCCTCTTCGGGCTTTTTCTTCCCCACTCGGGGAGGTCCTTCCCGGTGGCCGCCCCGACGGGGTCTGAGCACCTAGGCGGAGGCGGCGCAGGCTTTTTGTAGTGAGGTTTGCGCCTGCGCAGCGCGCCTGCCTCCGCGATGCACGGCGGCGGCCCCCCCTCCGGGGACAGCGCATGCCCGCTGCGCACCATCAAGAGAGTGCAGTTTGGAGTCCTCAGTCCGGATGAACTGGTAAGCGGCTCTGCCCTCCGGCTCCTCCTCCGTCCCGCGCCGCGGGAGGGGCGTGCCTGTGGCCGTGGCAACTTTGCGCTTCTTGCCGAAGAGTGACGGGCAGGGAGGGTGCGTTATCGGCGCCGAGACAGGACCGGGGTCCAGCCTCGCGTCCTCCCACAGTCAAATTTTGCCAGGAGATGAGCAGGCTGAGCTGAGCGCTGTGTCTCGGATGGGGGCCTGGTCGCAGGAGGGGCGGGTGAGGCGGGTGACTGGCTCCACACCTCAGAGTTGGCGACGTTAAAGGAGATCGGACGAATCCAAGGGGACCTTTGCAACTTTGGATAAGAGGCCAAGCACCAGATATTTTCCCTCCCCCTTCTACAAATATTAATTGAGCACCTGCTACGTGATAGACCAGACGCTGGGGATCCAGAGCTGGACAAGACAAGGACCTGCCTTCTGAGGGAAGGGGCGGGGGAGACAGACAGTAAATATATGAATAAGTGAATGAACAACATAATGTAGTTAATAGCAAGAGCCCTCAATAAAGTGAAACGGTGTAATGCGATGGACAGTCACTGAGGTGAGGCTTCGTTAGATGGGGTGGTGGTAGGGTCTGGGAAAGCCTGTCTGAGGAGGTGACATTACTTGAAAGATGAAAAGCATCTAGGCCATAGATTCTAGGGCAAGAGCTTTTCAGGCGGAGAAGCAGCAAGTGCAAAGGGCCTGAGGAAGGAAGGAACTTGGCATGTTCCTGGGGCTGAAAGAAGGGCACTGTGGCTGGGGGGGGGGGGGGGGGGGGCGGGTTTAGTAGCTAAGGAGAATCTTACCAAAATGGACTGAAGAAGCATGAGGTGAGGCAGGCCAGGTGGGATATTGTAAATCATGATAAGGAATAAAGAATAGAATATTCTATTTTCAATAGGAAGCCATTGGAGAATTATAAGCAGGAGAGTGACATCAAGTTTACATTAAAAAAAGGAAAACAGCCTACTGCTTTGGTTGCCCTGTGAAGATCTGATTGGGGGGGGTGGGGCTGAGAATGGAAGCAGGAGAGACCAGGGAGGAGGGTAGGCCTAGGGGAGAGCCAGGGGTGACCTGGACTCCTTCCTTTGTGGAGCGAACTGGTTGAAGAGAATAGAGTTGGATGGCCATGTTTGTGGATGGAGACAGTCGCTGGCAGGGAAGGCTCAGCTGTGTGAAACTTGGGTCAGGAGTGAGAACTTGCTGAACTCACACCATACCACAGAATAAATTCCAAATGGAGTTAAGATTTAAACCTAAAAAACAAAACTGTAAAGCACTAGAAAACTATAGAAGGCTTTTGGGGGCTGATACCAGGGGCAGAACCCTTAATAGTAATGAGTTAATTGTAGGTAAATTTTATTGAGTCGCTGTTATGTGATAGGCACTGAGCTAAGCATTTTAAACACAAGGAAGAGCAGGGCAGATTTCAATACTTAAAAATAAGAGCGCTTCTGTTTATCAGAGACACCAAGGACAGCTGAAAACAGATTGGGAAACCGTGTTTGCAATGTGATGGACAAGGTTAGATTTCTTAATATACAAAGAGCACTTACAAGTCGGTAGGAAAAGCACACATCTACTAGACAAACAGATGAAAGATCCAAATAGGCAGTTCACAGAAGTAGTACAAATGGCCAATAAAAAATATTCAGCTTGCTAACAAAAACGTGCTAATTAAATACAATTTTTCCCTTATCTGATTTTTCCCTGCTGGCAAAAATATTGGGAAATAGGCATGTTGTATGTTGTTGTAGGAGGATAAATTGGTATAACCTTTTTGGAAGACAGTCTGACCATTTTATCAGTCATTTGCTGTGCATATTCCTTGGGCCAGCATTACCACTTCTAAAAATTTAGCCTTAGATAAAAAACTCTTGGGGTCAGCCCGGTGGCACAGTGGTAAAGTGCACATGTTCTGCTTTGGCGACCAAGGTTCACTGGTTCGGATCCCGGGTGCGGACATGGCACCGCTTGGCAGTCCATGCTGTGGTAGGCATCCCACATATAAAGTAGAGGAAGATGGGCATGGATGTTAACTCAGGGCCAGTCTTCCTTAGCAAAAAGAGGAGGATTGGTGGCAGATGTTAGTTCAGGGCTAATCTTCCTTAAAAAAAATGAAAAACTTTAATTTCTTCTTTTGAAGTTGCCTGACCTCCACTCTTGCCTGGTTCAGCCAGCAAGCAACAGCTCCACCATTCATCCAGTTGCTCAGGCCAAAAACTTAAAAGCCATCTTTTTTTTTTTTTTAACAATTCAGAAAACATTTATTAAGTGCCTGCTATTCACAATTTTTTGAATCCCTCCATCTATCCTACATTCACTGCTCATTGCTAGGGCCAGGCACTGTGCTTGACCCCTGGAAATTGAGACACACTAAAATAGACAAGCTGGCAGGTGACGTGGATAAATAAACCCGTTACAGTAAGCTTCCTGCCAGAGCCATGTTCAAAGTACAGTTACAACTTGGAGAAAAGTGTGTCAGCTGCTCCCAGGGATACTGGGCAGGTATCGTGGAAAAGATAAGCTCTAGCTGTTTGTTCGTTTTTCACGTATGGCATTTTAAAACATACACAAAAATATAGAGACTAGGACAGTGAATCTCCACATACCCTTAACCCTGCTTTAATGATTAGGAACTCATAGCCACTTTGATTCATCTTTACCCTCACCTGCTTCCCTCTATCCCTTCGTTTTTGTTTTTGTTTTGAGGAAGATTCGCCCTGAGCTAACATCTGCTGCCAAGCCTCCTCTTTTTGCTGAGGAAGACTGGCCCTGAGTTAACATCCGTGCCCATCTTCCTTTGCTTTATATGTGGGACGCCTACCACAGCATGGCCTGCCAAGCGGTGCCATGTCCACACCTGGGATCTGAACTGGCGAACCCCCAGCCGCTGAAGCGAAACGTGCGAGCTTAACCACTGTGCTACCGGGCTGGCACCCCCCTTCATTTTGTTTTGAAGCCAATCTTAGACATTTTTACCATGTCACCCATAAATACTGAGCTGTGTTTGAAGAAGGAACTGGAAATGTCTTGACCTTCCACTAGTTTATGCTTCTCCCCATCTATTCTTCTGCCAGCAGCTCCAAAGCCTTGGCTGGTTCAGGGTAAAGACCAAAGACATTATTGGAGCCTTTGAGTTGGATGAAGGAAGACTGAGCTGATCCAGTGAAAACCCCATCCTGCCTTATCTGTAATGCTGCCTATGTTCTTCTGGTTCTTGGTCCTCATAAAATTGCTAACTCTTTAGAAGTTTATTAAGCACTTAATGTTTGTACAAAATGGTAGTTACATCCCACATTCCCATGTGCCCTTAGCAGTCTCCTGGGAGATCTCAGACAGCATGCGTCTTGCCCTGCAGGCCAAGGTGACTTGGAGTAGCTTCCTGTCAACCTTGATCTTTACTGGATTGGGAGCATGGTCACATCTGAACAGCTGGCCTCTCTGCCTTCCACCCCATCAGCATTTCCTCTCTCTCCATGGTCACACAGCTAGAGAGTGGAAGAGCCAAGGCCATGAGCTTAACCACAGAGTCCTAGCCTTCCCGCACACCCCTCCATTGCTGCAGCAATCCCTCAGCTGTGTGCGTCTGCCCGCTCTGCCTGGATGGGGACCACCTAAAAACCATCTTTGATTCCTCTCTTTCTCACAGCCTCCACTCAGGCTATCTGCCAGTGTCAGTTCTCCCTTTCAAAATATGTTGAATCCAGTCATTTATGACCATCTCCATCTCCATCACCCTGTTCCTCCCCACCGTCATCTTTCCTCTGGAGTTCTGCAGTAGTCCTAGGGCCCAGCTGCTCCTCCTGTGGGTTGTAGAGCAGCTAGAGAGAGCTTTTCATTATGTCTCTTCCCTGCATGGAGTCCCTTCCAAAGGTCCAAACTCTACTCTGACCTACGAGGTCCTGTCTTATCCGGCCCCTGCTTGCCTCTCCATCTGTTACCAATGTCCTCTTTGCTCTTCTTTAGCCACAGTGCCCTACTCGATCTTCCAACACTGCAAGCTCCTTCCTCCCTCACGCACTTTATCGTTCACTCTTCCTGCTGCTTAGAACAACAGTGCTTGGGGCTGTTCCTTTAAGTCAGTATGTTCTCTGCTCCAGTGTCGTGTCGTCAGGAGCGCTTCCCTGACCACCCTATGAAGTGGCATCCTCCTGCATTCTCTAAGCCTTGGTCTGGACTTGACTTCATAGCCTGTCATGATCTGAAAGGATTAGTTTTTGTTTACCTCAATAGAATGTAAATTGCATGAGAGACTGTATTCACCTCTTTTCCTTCAGTCTCTCAGCTAGTGCCTGGCACATATTAGGCATGTAATGAAAGTTGAATAAATGAGTGAATAAAATAATTGGGGAAGGATTTTTATTGCAACGTTGTTTGAAAATGATAGTTATAAATCACCTGAATATTTACTAGTGGTTACTTTTGGATAATCCAGTGTCGTGTCTTGTCTTAGAATAGAACAAGACCTTCCCCGAGGATTAAGTCAGCTGCGTCCAACTGCTGAGGCACCGCAGCAAACCGCAGGGGCCCGGGGAGAGGAGTTAAATTTTCAACAGAAGCACAGCCACCGGGCAACGTTTGTCTGCTGCCCTGGGTAGTTCCCCTTTCAGCACTAGATGGCGCCAAAACCCTTTCCATGACGTCATGTCTTTGTGAAGCTGCGTTTTTAGCAGTTGC